TTTATAATGGCTTGAACTTTAATAGAACTTATGGTAGCATATTTACAGAAAAACTATTGCAGGAAACATCCCAATTACATAACATCGTTTAATCATCCATTTTAGTGGCAATAATGTTTCAGCAGATAAAAGTATTCTATTAAAATTACTAATTTTTCGCAAAACATTTTCCAATAAATAAATATACATATTTCTGCATTTCTACATCTATTTAGTAGAAACTGATGAATGCGTAAATGTCTGAAAGCAAGTTTTTAAAAATAAAATAAATAAACATTTAAAGATTGAATACCTTTAAATTTTCGCGATAGATGAGATACTATTGTTTTGAGATTACGAAATTTCATGTTACAAGACAGTTTAAGATTTTAAGATTTTGGTTTACTCCACCACATTTCACGAATCGGGTGAACTTATTTTACATTCGATTGTGAGGATTGGACTAGACACTGAGGTCCCCTCTTTCACATTACTCATTAAACCCAGTTGCGTTAAGGCTAAGCTAGGGTCAGAACCGCAATTGATCAGTAGAATTTGCTTAACCTTTTCGGTTGTATCCTTGCAGAAGTAACTTTGCAGGGCGAAGTCAGGCGGTTGCAGTCAGCAACGTTCCTATTTATTCCTTTCTTCCTTCTGTAGCTCTTCCTACTGGATGGTATTTGGATACTCAAGTAAGAAAGGTTCTGGTCCTATTGGCTTAGCTGTCGCTATTTTTAAATAGAAGGTCGCTGACCTCATTGTTTTTATACCGATGTTCCAGGAATTTTCGTGCCAAACTTATTAACTTTTTAATGCTTTCAGTTGTTGATTTAATTTCTAATGATGGTCTAGTAAACGCAAAGAAGTTTTATCTGAAAAGTAAACATATTTCCAGAATAAATAAAATAAATACCACTTAAAACGAATTTTATTTAAGCTTAAAATTTCAGAAATTTCAAATTTATTATTTACCTAATTAACAACCAAACCTAATTTCAGTATTAAAATGGAGGTACAAGGTTGCGAAAATGATGCAAAGAAAAGTAAATAAATTTTAATTTTACCTCGTGGGATACCCCTACCGTCTAGGACATACATGGATTCACCAATTTTCCTCTTAGTTACAAGCAACTTCCGTCCACTCTACTTGCAAGACTTGTTTCAAGTCGGCTTGTTCGAATCTATCGTTCCAAATCTAACCAAAATTCTCAATTTACAATGACGATATTGCAGATAGGTCCAATGAGTCAACTCTGGATTTGTTTGTTGGAGCTTCCAGCGGCTTAAAGTCTTATTTAAATGCTTCTTTCAAACGTCAATATGTGCTCCCATTTTTGTTTTATGTTTTTATGAACTGTGCGTTTTGATTTCCGGAAGATTTTTCCTCCAAAAATTCTTCCCTTCGTTGTCAAAGCTGCACCACGTAAATGGGGATTTACTCGAGTTTTCCACATATCACTTTCAATAAATTAATTAAAACAGGTTATTTTTATTGTGGCAAACTTTCACAAAGATCGCTTTCAATGATATACTGAACAGTTCGTTGGTAAACTTAACCATTACTGCACTATACGAATTTTGAAATCAATATGTTAAAAGTATTCATTCATTCAGGTCATAGTGATCAGACTTACTCCGAAACAACGTTTGCAATCGTGCAAATTTATTACCAAAATAATGGTCGGTTACCTCCTTACTGACCGTGTCGTTAACTGTTAACTTATCAGCACTATTTAGAGAATTAAGTTGAGGCGAGTGCAAACCCAGCCTGTTTTGAGCTATTGGAATGTGTTGCGGAGCGAGTGACAAAGTAAAACCACTCTCTTAAACCAGGGTGTTATGCGGACCGTGCCCATTGGTTGGTTTGCAGCTAGGAGAGGTATAAAATCCAGCTGTATCAGAACGGTGCCATCTCGACAACGGCGAATCGAGATGTAATGTAGTCTTACTGAGGCATGCCGCGCGGTCAGCGGACTAAATATTTCGTCTATAAATATTTTGACCACAAAGTGTGCTCCGTAATGCTAGTGGTCGTACAAAGAGATGAAGAAAACAACAACAACGCAAGAAGAAAGAGCGAAGCGAAGGTCAGACGGACAAACTACGAATCTATTACGGAAACCGCAGCTCTCTTCGCCCTATATGCCACCAGTCGAAGGGCCTCTGTACGAAAGCGAAGCGTCCTTCCCTGCCGAGCTGTCTCGGAGAGAAGTACAGTAAGACAAACAACACTCGCTGCGAGCTCTGATACAACAAGAGGAATCGGAACAACATCCGAACAAAATAAGAATAAAAGGACCCAGAGAGCGAATCTCTCTTATAATTTCAAATCGGAGAGACGAGGTATAGCGAAAACACCGCCGAAGGAGCACTGAACGCGAAAGCAGATGAAACGGTTCTGGAACGATCTAACCAGACGTGGCGAAAACAGAAGGTCAAATACAACTCTCCGGCAGCAACCAATCTTCGACGGTGCGATCATTCATCAGTGTTGAGAGAACTCGAATCCAATGGAAAGAAATAAACGACAAAAGCATAGAGACGAGCAGGAATATAAGATAAATAAGGATCTGGAAAGGGGTATCAGCCCAGAATCCGCCCGAGTCTAAGCAAAAAAACAGAGCAAGAGGATCAGCCGCCAGGCACCTGGAAGGGTCCGCTGTCGCGAACCAAAAGACCATAAGGCCAGGCCAGGAACACAGCTATGCTAAGGCTATAAAAGTGGTCAGGGTGGCCGTGCTACCGAGGGACTTCCCAAAAGAGTTTCTGTCCCCGGAAAAGCTGACCGAAACACAAGAGGCAATAATGTATAAGGCGCTGAAAGGCTGGAAAAGCCCATTGGTTTTCTCAGGAGTAACATTTAGGCCTGGGCTACTCATCTCTGCCTGCAAGGACGACTGCACTGTTGAATGGCTAGCAAAAGTGATACCAACCCGTACAGCTAACCACAATAGGCGGCGAAGAAATACCCCTATACTATTAATAAACATGAATAAAGCCATGAGAAGTCTTAGAAAAACCGGCTAGGCAAAATATAGAACGTTATTTGACATAAACCTAAACAGAAATGAACTAGCAAACAAAGCAAAAAATGTCCAAGAAACTAGAACAGAAGGTAGAGGACCTAAATAATAATATAATCGAAGCAATTAACGCTAGTTGCAAACTCTCAGATCCAAAGAAAACGAAAGACGCTCAATGGTGGAACACACAACTAGCTAAGGAAAGGAAAGAAGTCAGGAAATACTTTAATAGAGCGAAAAGAGACGGTAACTATGAGAAATATAAATCTAAGCTAAACAGCTACAATAAAGAAATATGGGAAGGCAGACGATCACACTTCAGAACTTCTGTGAAAGCATTTCATCAATACCAGAAGCAGGTAGGAAAAGGAAATAAAAAGATAGGCACTTGAGATAAAGCACGAGACGCCGGCGCACATATTACTGGAATGTGATGCGGTAATCAGAAGAAGGCTCGCGCATTTAGAACGTACGCAGCCGAAGCAACATCATATTTAAACCATCAACCCCTTAAGCATCCTGGCGTTAATAAGAGATTTGAGGCTAGATGAAACAATATGAAAACAGTTATTCGGTCAACATAATCACAGAATCGGTAATTCGAGCAACCAATTATTCCAGCACTACTCACATGTATAGCATTACTTATTTGGCATTCCTGAATCGTTGTCATTAACGGTAAATTTTGTGCATCATTATCACTGTGAGCTTGTAAATTTCTGTACATGTATATGGTGTAGATATGGAGTTGTATATATAGATCAGGTTTATCCGTCCGTTCATGCAAACTGTAACTTGAGTAAAAATTAAAATGTCTTGATAAAACTTGGTACACATGTTCCTTGGAACCATAAGAAGTTCGGTATTGTTGATGGGCGGAATCGAACCACTGCCATGCCCCCAATCGAGAACGTATAAATTTCCATAACTAAACCAAAAATTAACCGAATCGCAATAGGAAGGGCATCTGAAGTAGACCTCGAATACCAAGAAATCTAATCTGAAGTTTGAAATTTTTTTAAAAGTGGGCCGCCTCCAAATTATATTAATGTACATATCTTATAAACCACTAACACTATATTAACTGAATTCACTCTGGACAAATCCTTTTGGCACCTCCTTTCACACAGTGGAAATTGGTAAAATCCGGTGATGACCCCTCCCGCTCCCCATATAAAATACCTACTAAAAGGGCGTGGCAGGTTTGGTGTATTACATTATCCAGATATAAAAATTAGTGGAATCGAACTACAACCAAGCCTACCATTCATATATAACTATATAAATCGAGAGCCAATGACGTAATTGAAATAAAATTTTGCACAAGTAGTGTCTTGTAGGTATTTCAGCTTACGTCTAAAAATTGTCGAAATCGGACTATAACTTTTCAAGGCCCCAGAAAAATAAAAAGATTTTCGAACTTCCGGTTAACTTTATATCGCATATATATGTATATATAAATATATTTTTCTAATGCTGTGTATCCTTGTGCCTAAAATGGATAAAATTGGGTGAAGTCGCTTGACTTCATACCTGATATGTATATTGCTCAATCAACTCTTTCTGGTAATGATATGTCTTAATATCAAAACTGAGTAAAATTGTGTCAATCCATTATCAAAATTAAGTAAACGTATAATATTGAATATACTACAGAGTAATGCCCAAAATTTGTGAAATCGGTCCACAAATTACCCTAGCTAACTTATACTATCTATACATCCTATACCGGATATATACTTATATATCCTATACCGGATATAGGATTTTCTTCAATTTTGATGTGGCTTAATGCTGAATATGAATGAAATTGTTCTAGATCTTTTTCTTAAACCTCTAATCCCTAATATATTGAATTCCGATCACCTGGTTGATGTTCACCTCAATATGTACTTTATATATTAAATTTAGCCCCTTTGTTTGGGTTACATGTATCTCCCCGGCTTTTTACCTTGCAAATTTTGATAGAGTAAGTGATTTGTGTATTTATGTGTAAAATTTTTTTAAATAAAGATAATATTTCATTGTTTTTTATTTCGTTATTGAATCACTTTAAGTATCAACAAAGCGGTACGTGGGTCTTCTGGCATAAACTTGCAGAAATGACATTCTAATGTTCATGTATTTGCTAAATTTAATGGACCACATAAGCTTGAATTCTAAATATTGCTAATCAAATGACTTGATTTTTTTTCTAGATTGTTGTCAGTTTTTCTAACTTTTAACCAGCAGCGGTCTTTAAAAAACTTGCACTAGTAAAGAATACCGAGCTGGCCAACTTTGGGACATACATATACTTCGCTCTGTAGCCCTCTCCATCCGCCTCGTATATGACTATTACATGAAATGGAGCGTCGTTATAGACCAAGTTGAGACGACCTTTCACTGCAAGTACTTCTCTTCCATTTTCATCTATGAGTACCTTTGTTTCTTCCGCACGGTTACCGCCTTCGGGATAATCTAGACTATTGTTTGCAATAAAAGAAGAATAGTTTCAACATTTTTGATTGAAATATTCGAAACATACGAAAGATTGAATTTGTCATCGATTGGCATTAGCTTAAAATTTTCTTGATTTATTGTGGGCACCAACTCAGCAAGTTTTGGGGAATCTCGTAAGACCTCAGCAGCAGAAAGAGCGACGCAAATCACAAAAATTCCAATCGTAAAAAGTTTCATCTAAAAACATTGGTTCATATTTGTAAATTTGTTTAATTAGCGTGTGTATATACTGCTGTTTAACATACATATATGTACCTTACGCTAGTTGTGCAGTTTCCGGAAGTTTAGTGGGAGTCCGGACCGTCTGATGCTGCGAAAGACACTGATTCTTTTGAATAGAGCTCAAATTGATTGCTAAACTGGCTTTATTATGTACATATACGAAGCGAATGTATAATTCAAACATACATATAGACAAAATATACAAATCTCTTGGAAGCCATATTATACTCGTACACTAAAAGAATGCAGAGACTATTAATAAATAATGATATGATAAAATTTTGATAAGTTTTCATCAATCAAGGTGCATGGGTCGCTGCCTTCTACATTAACAGTCAGCGCGTTTTATTGGTTTATGTTTTATGTTACTAAGCTTATTATTCATACAATAATCAATCATCTCATTAAATAGTATTTAAATAGTTGAGTTAATTTGATTGGTTGTCCGTGTGAACACCTTTGAGTTTTACCTAATACATATGCACTGTTCAACCTTTTGAACGATTCGCTAATCTAATATATTTTACATGTTCTTTGGCGCATTAGTTAATCACTAAAATTAAAATTTGCTTTTGACTTTACAGTTCGTGTTATACAATGAAAAGGTACGGCTGGGAGCCCCTTGATTAAAATGCCCATCAGCCAGCAATCTATTTGATGTATCAGACATTAAAAACTGTCTTGAGTTCAACTTAATTGGCTAGTTTTATTTTATTTTTTTGGTGTTCAGAATGTCATGAGAAAACTCAAAATTTACTGATTAAATTTTCACGATGATGGATGAAAATCCAACACTACATGATTGAACAATTCAATACCTTTTAATCTAGGTTATGCAAGTACTATTTTAAAAACCCATATCTTAACTAATTTCTGTCATTTGGTTGAAAAAAAATGTGTAAATATGTGTACTATTATATTTTCATGTCATATATGTTAGATGCTCTTTACACCTTTAATTTTAGTTATTCATTTTTTTAGTTAAGCTACAAACATATATTTATATAAACAAAATCCATATGTGTATAAGCATATATACTCCTTCATACATACATATTTGCAATCCGAACTAAGCATTAACATGCTAAAGTTATTCGTTACATATTTGCATAGCTATCAGGTATTTATAAAAAGACTCATAACACATACTATGTATGTCTAGCGAAAATTGGCATTGATTGTGAGTCAACAAATTCCTCTCAATTATTATTAAGAGCTCACTTAACATGTATGAGTCATTTGAAAATTTATATTTGTGAAGCAGAGTGGCGCAGTGGAAGCGTGCTGGGCCCATAACCCAGAGGTCCGAGGATCGAAACCTTGCTCTGCTATAAGCGAAGAAAGATTTTTTACTTTAATTATTATTATTTTTTTTTTTCAATTTAATTTTACATTTTTACAGTTAACATTTGATAAGTTTTTAAGAAATATTGTCATTTTTAAAAGATATTGTCTTATTTTTTTATGACTGTCATATCAGCACTGTTGTTGTTTCCCATGCAAAATTGCAATATGACAAATACAACAGGACTAGGTATGTTTTTTGAGTGTGCTATTTTATCAGCTGTATCTGTTTTCTTTTTTTATTGTTGACGTTTAAGTGTCTAAAATTAAAAAAAAAAAATAAATTTCATCAATTTCTTTAATAATATGGAAGGAAGCCACGATATCCAGGTAAATTAAGATGAAGAAAAGTGAAATATATAAATATTTTGTTGTTTCTGTTATTGCAATGTGAACCAAAATACCGGCGGTTCAACATATAGAAGCTTTAATTTATTTTTGTCACTTTCTCGTGGCATTTTTACATTTTTAATTTTTCACTACCAGCTGGTGAAGTGAACAAATATTACACAATATGACATACAACAGTTTAGGGGTGCTCACAAGTGTCGTATTTTTTAAGCCTATTGAAATACGACATAAGACGAAGCTTGTGAATTGCCTAATTATGTTTTCAATAAACCATGCGCACAGTCATATTTTTGGACAACAATTGTTTGAAATGAAAATTAATATATAAATCTTGTTTGTATATGGTATAAGGACGATTGATGAATTGATCGTGACGTTAGTGTTCAAGTAAGCAGTTTCTAGTCACTGTTTGAGACATTTTGAGGTAAAGTCTCAATTTATGTAACTATTTACGATACAGTCTCCAATATTTAGTCATAAAATATTGTCTCAAATTTGTCAGCTGATGGTAAGCTGGTCACAAAAGTAATAAGAGTTCTTGTTTTCCATTTTTCCAACTCAAACACGTAAAAATGAAAAAAAACTATTGTGATACAATGTAAACATTTTATTTTCATTGGTAGCAATGTATATTGTTATAGAGGATTTAATATATTTTATCGACATGTTTATTTTCAATCAGGCTTTATATACATCTCTAGATAAGACAGCTAATTAGACCTGTTCGTTTTCAATCGAGAGATTTTTCACGTACTGAATTGCAAAATCGTCTCAAGTCGCAAAAGTTGTCTCTAGTTTACAATCTCAAATTTAGAGACATGTGACTTCATCAAAGTACTGAATAGCGATGTAAAATTAAGATCTACTACCAAACCAAAGTTGGAGAAAACCGAACAACAAAAGAGCAATATACCCAGCAGTAAAGTTTAGCAAGCTGTTGAGTATATTATCTCACTAATCTACTAGACTTAGCAAGATTTCGCTATTCAAAAATGACACTATTTAATCTTAGCGACATCTGTTGTGTTTAGCACAGCTGATTTAGACAAAGGAGAAAACAAGTAAGGAAGCGCTAAGTTCGGGTGTTACCGAACATTTCATACTCTTGCAATTTGCAAGGAACAATGGCGGAGGAACACCTTCAGGTTTTGGCCAAACTTTATATCAAAATAAGGAAAGTATCGGCGTGATTTCATCCATTTAAGGAAAGAGAAGATACACTGTTATTAGAAAAAGATTATTTCTGAATTTCATTAAGATTTCTTACATATTGACCGACAGATACGGTATAAAGTGAACCGGAGGTTCGAAAATATTTATGTTAGGTATATGGGGGCTGGAAGTATTGAATGGCTTTTATCTATTTTTGGCAGGTGCCCCTTGCTACTGCGATCTCCTGTACCAAATTACAGTTTTGTATCTTAATTTGCGGCTTAGTTATGGCACTTTAACAGTTATCGTTTAATTGTGAGCGTGGCAATGGTCCGATTCTGCAATACCAGCCTCCCTTGGGTGCCAAGGAATATGTGTACCAAGTTTCATCAAGATATCTCAATTTTAACTCAAGTTATCGTTTGCACGGACAGACGGACGGACAGACAGACAGTCACCCGGATTTCAACTCTTCTCGTCATCCTGATCATTTTTATACAACTCGATATCTATCTCGATTAGTTTTAGGTAATACAAACAACCGTTAGGTCTCTTTGCTAGGCGCTTAAAGAGAAAAAAATACGTTCATTGTTCTGTTTTATAAATTTCTAACGGCAGTGAGGGCAGTCTAAAAAAGTGTTGGTGAGCTTTTTCAATGATGTGATGACGAAGGAGTATGACATAGATATTTTTAAACAGTTAGAAAGCACTAAGTTCGGGTGTAACCAACCATTTTATACTCTCGCAACTTGCAAAGATCAAAGCGGGGGAAATGCTTTCAAGTTTTATATCAAAAACTCTTGCCAAAGAACTCCACATTCATTATTCGACGAAATCGTGAAATGATTAAAATAGTCATAGAATCAATTAGTTTCATTACTACATTTTGAATGTCCGAAATATTAATATTAAGATCAACCTAATTATCTCAAATGAGATATATGCATGTGATATAAACTCAATCAAAGCTAAATTTAATATATAGGGTATATGAGGAAAACATAAACCAAAGGATGGGAAATCCCAATTTCTTTCTGGACTAATGAAAATGATTATATAGTATGTAGTATATAGGGCACAATAGACCTTAGGTCGCGGTGAAAACTTCAATTAATTTATATTATATTTCTATGTAGCTTATGGAATCTTGGGCGTTTTGTGGAAGAATATCACACATTTTTGGCATTAAACTATAGTATATCCAATAATATACCTTCCTTTAATTTTGCACATTATATTGTTCGTATTGACCGATAGATGCGTAATTAAAATCAACGGGAAGTTCAAAAATATTAGGCATATGGGGACTAAGGGAAAGAAATGAAATTTGAAATTGGTCAAATAATTCCTGAGATATCAGATTTCTCCTAAAGGTGGGCGGTGTCATACCGCTTGCCCAATTTTTACAGCTGCTTCTATAAGGCCGTTCCTTGCCGTCTTGGTTGTGAAATTTAATGCTTGTGGCGCATTTATTCAGTGAGTTAGCAGACTTTTAGCAGTTTTTAACATAACCGTTGTACAGGAAGTGGGCATGGTTATTATCTGATTTTACTTCTTCGTGCAAGTTTGGTTGAGTTAGCTTCGGCGGTTTGGAATATACTTATGCATATTAAATCATATAGAGGTCGCGGGCACGACCACTTTAAGACAATTTTTAGCCCACAGGTCTCCCTTACTACTGCGTTTCCCAAATTATAGTTTTTTATTTTAATTTGTGCTTAGTTATAACACTTCATTTTCGTTTAATGGCGTTTTATAGGCGTGGCAGTGATACGACTATACACATCTGCAATACTGGCTTTGGTGCCAAGAAATATATATATGTATGTATGTAGCAAGTTTCCATAAGATATTTCAATCTTGACTCAAGTCATGGATGACATCATACGATACTTTGATTCGATCGAGAGCTGTCAAAATCCACATTCTAGAGAAAATGGATAGGGTATTTTAAAAATAACTTTTGGGCATTTTGCATTTCGATATTATTTAAAAGTTTATGAGTAGACCTATATCACGCATATACAGCTCTAAATATGTGTATTCATATTATGAAACTTTTAAAACATAATTGAAAAATAAAATTAAAACATATAAAATAATATTATAATATAAATAAAAAAAACTATATCAAAGAAACAATACAACTCATAATAAAATATCATTATTTTATGATTAACGTTTTAAATGCAACTATTGTATTTCGAATTTATAACAAAGAATAGTAAACAAACTTTAGTTGCACGTTCTTCAAAAATATTTGTGCCATTCCTCGAAATTTCGTTTTGCACTGCTTTTGTCAGATACTTTTAGAGAGTTTATTTTTGGCATCCCTCCTTTTTTTTAATTAGCTGTTCAAAATTCCCAATTCTTCATAATCAGGGAAAATAAGAGAGTCTCGTTTCATGCCATCCTTGCTCAAGTTATCGCTTGGACAGATATTTACCCATATTTCAACTCGTCTCGTCAAAAGGATCATTTATGGTATATATGTATATCTCCATATCTAACTCATGATACAAACAATCGTTAGGTGAACAAAACTATTATACTCTGTAGCAACATGTTGCAAGAAAATAAAAATGAAATGCCCAAAGCGCGATTAAGTTTGTGTTTGTTGATCCTTATTATTCAAGATAACTTAAATACAAGCTTATAATTTGGTTGATTGCGTCATGTGAGCGATGAATAAGTAATTAAGTGTTTCCATTTGACACGTTAGACCATCGAATCATCATTCCAAATTTACGATTCATTAAAGATGGTCAGAGCCACAGCTATCTCTGTTCAGAGACGATTCTGTGAGATAAGTACCCTCATTGAACGCACTCAAATACTAACTTTCTCAACAAAGAACGATTATAAGCATTTTTGCAATTTTTTCAAAGATAAATATCAATTGTTTTATTAGAATTAAAAAAATGGCATACTATTTTTATGTTATAGCTGCCAAATTCCAAGCAGTTGTCATATATCGTTTCACTCAAATGCAAAATTCTCATATTCTCCGTAAAATTGAGGCATGCACTTATCAGGTTCTAGATCAACGATCTACTCCGGATATTTATTCAAAATCCTCTCAAAAACATACGAAGAATTTCTAAAAAAAATTAACTAAGCTTTGAAAGTCATCAGTTCTCTCTACATATTCTTACAGAAATTTACTCCAGGCTTCGTTCGATATTTTGCAGGGTATACAAGTTACTCAACAATATACACACTTGTTTTTGCGTGCTCATGGGAAACATGTGACATTATGTACAAAACAGTAAGTATATTTTAATTTTAAATATGTAGTTGTCACTGACTATGGTTGTCTTATCAATTATGGCAAACCTTAATTGCTAAAAATATACATTCTCAACAACAAATTTCTTAGGAATTCACTGCAAATGTCAAAACAAATCAGTCAAAACCGCAATTTTGTTTACCACATTCGTCTCGCACCAATTGAACCCAGCGCCGACTGCCACCAATCTGTTTTCTGGTTTGCAGGTCAGCTCGAAAATACACACCAAAGTGCGGAGCGTAACGCAGGCGCGGATACGGATACAGAGCAGCAATTAAACAAACAATACAATCACTTCACAGCTGCGTGATATTGTAATGCTGTATGAAAATTTGTAGGCAATCTGCCAAACGCCAACCACAATATACTACACACTATTTTCGAGTAGGTTTTTTATTTAGACAGCACATAAAGCCATAATGAACTAATAACCGCATTTTACTATTTTCAACTCATGTCAACAGAGAACGGTAAGCGCTGTATATGTATGGTAAGGAAAAAAATAAAAATAAAAACAGAGGGAAACCCTGACGGAGAAAAAACTAGTAGGCAGCAGCAGTCAGCCGTCAGAAGCCAGGAGAATTTAATAGCGCAAAAATAAAACGCGCGAAAATTGTAAACAGTACGAGCTGCAGTGATTAATCGACAACTCATTGCGAAAAGCTCTGTTGTGATCTGTTGGTAAACAAAGTCTCGGCGTAGACTGCAGCTGATAACAAGCGACATCGAGGAGCAACAATGCGATTGACCTGAATCGCTGGCTGGCAGCCGAGCTGAGCTCATAGACACGTTCGGTAAGTGCGCTGTAATGTGCGATAATTAATGCAGCGCGGTAAAGTTTCCATAAATACGCGCTCATGCGATAATACAGCGATATATATTCACATATTTACACATACATATGTAAATACATTTATACTTATCTACTAAGAAAAGCGTAAGGTTTCAAAAAGACCACAACTAACCACGTACACTCTCATATATTGCATGTTTCACAAAACAATATTAATATAAATATACTCACGAATACATATACATATATTTATTGTATGTGTTTGCTTGTTTGAAATCAAAATATTTATAGATACGAGGAGCAGAGTACAAACCCAAGACGTTGCTCTTGTCTTAGATGAACGAGCAACATGAATTGCTTAACGAATGGCGCCTACAAGCCGGACTGACGATAGCGTGGTATGCTAATTTTAGACAACGCCACACGAGTAAACAACTTCGGACCGCATCCTTCAACCACTTTTCAAAGCTCATACATACTCGTACATACGCGATCTGCTCCGCAAATGCAGTGGAATGCAATAATCTTTACAAATGCTAAAGCTATCAGCTAGATATATACATGTACATATTGAGCATACCATATTTTACACATAAACAACAACAAATGTGTCCTATTGAATTTCGCGGACTTTGAACGGAGCAGCCTTCATTCACTCGGGCGCATACGTAACCAACAGCGCCACCAGCATAGACTCGCGCAGACGCTTTTAATGTTGACAACGTGGCGTGTGCATACATGCATATACAGTTACGTTTACGACTTATTATGCTGATCCATTAAATCCATTACATATGCGGCGCGTGCCTGCATGGTGAACTCACATCCGCCGCGCACTTCCGCACCTACCGTAATTTATACGATGGCGTCAATGATCAATGATGCCTAAGGGTTGTGGTTGTATGTCAGAAAACCACAGAAAATAAATTGAATTATTTCATTTGAATTAAGTGCCGGTGCGATCGTATCAACATTGATGAAACAGAACCGTGTATAGTTCGTTCTTTATAGCATTATTAATATTTGCAACACTTGCCGGGTTCATCGCACCGCTACTGTAAGTTTTAAAATATTGTCTATGCTTGTTTGCATTTGCACACTTTCGGGGTCTAAAAATTGGCGGAATCCGAATGATAGTTGAATGATAATTAATAGGTTGAGTTGAAATTGGTATAGTGGTCTATTGGCGGCAGCGTGAGTTTACTTTTCCCTTGCTAGGCGAAACCTTAGCCAAATTATCTAACTTGATATTAACAAACGCTTAGACTTATCATATTATAGATTTTCATAACGATATAACGAGTTATGTGATCTACGACTTCAATAGCAACTATTTATAATCTTTAATAGCAACTATATATGTATATAGATATATCTGGTAAAGTTCCCTCAACAAGCAACGATAAAAATATTTCGAGTTTATAAAAATTATCATGACCTGACTAGTATTTTCATATTTATCAGAGGCGGTGTTAACAGCTGTTCAAATCATCACAGTTACTTACAGAGTATAGCTGGAAGAGTATAACGTTTTAATCACAACAGTAGTGCCCAAATTGTTCTGGTACCATAAAAAAGGAGCATGCGAATTTCCAATGCCACCGTTTCACTGAAGAAAGAAAAGTAACCGAAGCTACACTCGGTTTCACATAGCACACTGAAATGAAATTTTTGGTAGGATTTCAATCTGATCGTTCCTGACTTACTGGTTGCTAAACATCAATAATACCACTAACAAAGTTTGGTAGATGATTTACGCTCTTAACCTCCAATGAGAAGCTATATTTTTTTTTGTCAAACCAGCGACATCTAATGGACATGAGGTCACGGTATTCCAAGGACGCCAGCTACAACAAAAATGGCTAAAAGTGAAATAAATGAAACTCCTATACATATGCGTAGTGAATATATGGTACAGACTGTACAACGGAAGAAAAATTAACCGACGGCAAACGGCGTACGACTGAGTATACTTACTTCCGACGGCTTTTGAAAATCAACTATACAATAGGTTAAACCGTTAGAAATAAAAGTAGGACAATCACCTTAGTAATGAAAATATATTATATATTGTACAAGGCGCAATGTGTACATATAGTATATATGCCAGAGCATTGACTGTGATACAAAATAAAGGCAATCGCTTTAGATTGCCACTCAAGGACTTTATTATTTGTATAGCAAACGTATTTTCAATGCGCAAAGCTCTTACTTAATTGCATCGTTTTCAGCAAAAAAAAGTACACATGTGCGTATATATACATATGTACATAAGTAACCGATCATTGACCCAAACGAATTTAAACTAATAATCATACAGACATTTAACAGTTTAAGAATAGACAAATATATATGTACATACATATGTATGTATATAAAAGAATTTATAGAAAATTATTCAATGAAAATATTATTCGATTATGTATACGGTACCCACCCGACTCTTTTAGCAAGTAACAAAACTTTTCTTTTCTCGCAGAAGAAAGTCTGGTTTATGAAAGATTGCATCAATTGAAAGTTCGGGGAATTAAATTATTCTAACACTTTTTTCTTTAAATACTGACTAGCAGGAATATCGAAGGTGGACATCATGGGACAATTGATTTTAAAAGAGGTTTTATAATTATTTATCTTTAAAAGTTTAAGAAATATGGAATGCCAGCTTCCACTTCCGGATTTGACGTGAGTTTTAATTCGATAAAAATATTTGAAGTCAGGGTATTCAAACCGACATGACGGTTTAAAATATAATATATTAGGTATTATCAAAGGATTACCATTTAAAATAAATATCTATGATTTGTTGATATATACATAAAATTATAAAAATATACTAAGTATGTCATTCAAACATTTCATAAAATGACATCGAAAGTAAGATTGTAGGGGTTAAAAACTGAAAGCTAAAAAAGTGTAATGCTTCTTAAAACAAAAAAGTCGAGTCTACAGGTATATCTGACATAAATGTAAATTAAGATTTTATAGGCGAAATTTGGACACATGATTCAACGTGAAAGGGCCATTCATTCACACTCTTTAACATGAAGCTTTTTTTTATAAAATTATTCAGCATTTCAATTTCGTTTTTTTAATACTACCAAAAAAAAGGAATAATACGTATGCACTTTTTTCTGATTGGACACCCCTCTGGATATGAAGTTTGTTTCTCTTGGTTTGGTAATTCTGTGAAGAAACATTAATAATTTCCGTGATGCTAATCATATCGATCTTGAACTTCTGGAAATAAATAGTTTAGATGTGTATTTATACATATAACAAATATATTGTTAATCAGTGTATTTATTACATACATATTTAGATGTTATTGTTTTAAAATGTTATTGATTTTTTTTGTCATTCTTCCAAATTTTGGTTCGCACTTGCGTATGTATGTACTTAAATATATACATATTTATGTATGTACCATATGTGTTACTTAGCATGTGAATAGCATGTGCTACATTAGCAGATAAAAACATTGACGAACTTTTACTCGCTAATATGGTAAGTAAGAAAGGTCAAAGTTGGAGTGCAACCCAATGCTATGAACCACTACCACTTTAGATAAACAATTTCTTTCCAAATATTATTATTTCTTTTTGGAAAATCAGTGATGTGGTAACCACTGAGTAATGAAAATTTACAAGTTCATTATCTTCTTTAAAATATTTAAAATTATGACGTAGGGCAACATTCTTTTTTTTTTCTAAAAAACGGAATTCATTATCTTAGTGATATGCAGGCTAGAACATGGTTTGGACCGTTTTATTTCGTATTTAACTACTGCGATCAAGAAAACATGTATACATAATTTCATTAAAGTATCACACACATTGACCGATATATTCAGTATAAAGACAACCGGGTATTGATGTAAGAGATACTGATTTCATTTATAGGTACTTTGGGTATTATTGAGAAGATATTTCCACTTAATTTTTTTGGGGCCCCGGTTTTGCAGTCATAATTATATACAATTCATTGAAAAATTACTCATCAATTTATTTCAACATGGTCGTTAACTATATAACCAGACGCTTCATTTCATTAGTAATAGAGTAATCATTATCTTGGCAACATTTTCCCTTGTTATGCGGTAGAAAAACAACTCAGTTGATTCGTTTTCTCCTTTTATGTTGAGACTTGCAAAATTTTTGAGTTGAATGAGCTCTTTACATAAGGAGGCTCCTAAGTATTTCAGTATGTTTCCACAATATTCTCATGTGTGTTAGCTTAACAATAAAATTAAATCGCTCGTAAACCAAATCGGAAGCGGGATTTCTGTTTTCAAGTGCACTAATCAATGCGTCAATGACTGGAAGAAAAGCTTCGAAATTTGTCCCTAGTTGAAAGTTGCACTGCCGATGCCTGAGAACCAAAACGTTAAAAGCGAATTCCAGGGAAAATTTTTAAATTCCTTCTAAATACTTTACGCCAACATCCTATCTTCTGTGTGATTCGTGGATTAATTTTTAACCTTTAAGATTAATGCTATACACAACTTTAGAAAAAACAAGTAAGAAAGTTCTAAGTTCGGGTGTAACTGAACATTTTACACTATCGCAACTTGCAAGGATCAAAGCCCGGGAAATTACTTCAGGTGTTGGCAATATTTTATATTAAAGGAAGTATAGATCCGATTCAACCCATTTTTGACACAAAGACATGAAAGAAAAGGCAAGAGAGTTATATATTTATAGTTACGATATAATAAATTGTTACATTTTCATTTATGAAGAGAAAACACTAAAGTCGTTTTAATTTTGAAAAGTGAGTCAGATAAGTCAAATGTGCTGGAATGAGAATTAAAATCATGACATATACGGCGGGATGGTTCGTTTAGTTCGAAATTTGATCTACAGGATTTTAACCGTAAAGGTCTAAACTTCCTCGAAAAGCGAACCGGAATATCAAATTTAATTTCAGACAGGAGAAAAGAACTGCAAATTATTCCATTCAAGATTTTTACTAAGAATATTTTGCCAAGCATTTTTTCCCTACGACTAGAAAGTGTAGGTAGATTTATAAGTTTTAAACGACTAGTGTATGGAGGTAGACTTACCCTAGAATTCCGTCGGGTTTTGTTGTTTTTGAACAGACTCTAACTTGTCAGAATGGATTTGGTAGCTAAGGTTCGATACAACTGAGCCATATTACAGTATAGGTCTAACCAAAGTTGTATAAAGTGTTTTAGTAGTATACGGATCTCTAAATTCTTTAGACCAACGTTTAACAAAACTGAGGACAGCTTTTGCTTTCAAGACCATGTTATCAATATGAAGACTAAAATTAAGCTTAGGGTCCATATTAACTCCCAAATCAACATAGACTATGGTGCTGCATTACATGACATGCACAGATCTACGGGAAAAGCATATCGTCTTACATTTATTGAGATTCAATGACAAATCATTTTTATCTCACCATGCAACCAAATTGTTTAAGTCGCCTTGCAACAGACACAGATCAAGTTGATATATAAGGATCGGGAGATTTACTTTATCAAAAGCTTTGCTAAAGTCTGTGTATATAACATCCGTATGCTTATGTTCCCTAAAACCCAATGGTACATGGCTTACAAATTCAAGCAAGTTTGTTAGAGTCGATTTCCCTTTACGAAATCCATGAGGAAATTAAGGGAGAAATCGAAAAGTTTAGATATAACTGATAGTTTTGCGATACCTCTATAGTTTTCAATGTTGGACCTAAATCCACTTTTCTACAAAGGAATTATAAATGACTGTTTCCATATTGAAGGAAGGAAAAAGTTTTAGAAGAATTATTACAGTAGTTTGACTTGAAAAATTCTGCAAATATATTGGATATAATATCATTGTCACTTGAATGAATAGATTGGTATTTCATCGTGGACGGAAATTTGGAAATCCTGCGTTTGGAGTTTATGAAATCATAAAACGATTTTGGATTAATTACAATATTTTTTTTTACTTTATTAAAGTAATTATTATAACATTTGTTGTTAAGGTCAAAATATTGACAAGTGAAGCAGTTTTTTTTAAATGTTTAAAGGCTCGAGTTTTTCTGTTTTTTAATTTATATAACTCTTTCGAAAACCACGGACTTATACTTTTTCTTTTATTAACAATTACTATTGGAACATACTTTTCAAATAATTTCGTAATAATGTTATTAAAATGCAAGACACTCAATTCAATATCACCATTATAATTAGGCCATGTTATTGTAGAGAGTTCTCTATTTATCCTTTTAAAATTAGCTTTTGCAAAGTTAAACTGAGTACAGAAACTGGAAGTTTGATGATTACTATCCCGTGTATTGCCTATGATTTCGACAGATATTTCCAAAGCAGGATGATACGAGTCCTCTGGTAAAACAAGAGGATTACTCTGAATAACGGAACACTTTGAAGATGAATCAACGTATACTATATGTAAGCATTTACCAAATTTATTTAGTTCAGACCCAACTCGGACATTTTTTCAAAAAACTCATTAAAACATGACCGATTGCAAATCGGTACGATATAGTCATCGAAAGCTTTCTCCAAAGCACACGGTAAATTAAAATCTCCTAAAACGATTATTGAATCTGCATTATTTGCCATAGAAGTAGCTATTTATTAAAGAAGCATGCTGCATGTATATAAGTCCGAATACGGTGGTAAATAAGATAGGGTTAAATAAATAAAGAAACTATTAACATACATTTAAATTCAAATGAGTCGGTTCCTATAATAACAACATCTTCAGATGGGATAGAGGAATGTGCGGCAAATAGAACACTTCCATCGATTCTGTTCAGTCAATCACATCTATCTATAATATTTGACATTCGCTATTTAAAATCTCATTATTAAAAATGTGAGGTTTTAACCATGTTTCTGTAAATCAAATTATATGGAAATTAAAATTGGAACTGTTTAAATACAAGTCGGTTAATTTTGTATTAAGACCTCTAACATTTTGATAATAAATGCTTAGCGAATTTCTACCAATCAGTTTTTTATATAGGTGGTTTTGGTAATTTAACAATGTCTTCCTCAGTATGATTTCAAAGTTTAGGCTTAAATTCGCATACAAAAGCCCCAGGTGGCCAGAATGAGCTATCTAAGATCTTTTTGAATGTTTTAAGAGATACGTCTATCTTAAACAATGATATATTTCTATCATAATTGAAGTTAAATTTACGGATATTGATCTTATCACGCGACGAAATGTAACCCTTAATATCCTCCACCAAGGTATCTTTGGCAAGTCTAGAAATAAATATATATTTTTTAGGTGGAATAACTACCAAATTTTTAACAGATGCTACTGAGTAATTAGGAATTACGAGACACTTATTACTATTACATAGAGCTTTTGAGGAACAGAGCTCTTAGGAAGTTGACGGCTTATCACCTTGAGGGCAAGGAGAAAAGAGATTTATTAGGTCATTTGGAGGAGACGTAGTCTTCTGTACAGAAGAACTAAGTGTTACTTCATCGAAAGAACGTTTACGCTTAGGAGCAGGTTTGGAGGATTCGATAGAATCATTCAGGCACTCAAATATTTGAACAATTAGTGCCTAATTTTTCGGTGAGGGTTTCAAGATCTCGACCGATTGCGTTAAAGCCATTGCGTGCCTGCCTATAAACTCTAAATAGATCTACAATTTAAATAGAATCAACGCAATCCCTTACAGTCGAGAACAGAATCTAAGATTCTACCTGTCAGTCCAGCACATTTAATATGGGAAAGCCCATCACAAAGCCAGCATGAAACGTAGCGATCTGACTTGCCTTCAATGTTACAGTTGGGGAAGTTACACGACATAATAAACAACAAAGAAGATTAAATGAAGATCAAATAAAAGAGTAAGTAAAACCAAATCAAATTTTCATACCATCCCAGAGATAAAATTGAAATGATAAATGTCTCTGGCGTGTTTGGTGCTTTATTTATTGCGCTTTTAGTAGTTTTCAACAGTACCGTTATATGGGGACAATCACCTGGTTTCATCCATTTTCGCACTGTCGATAGAGGTGCTAAAAACGTTTGCTCTCAGTTAGTTTTGTTATTATAGCTTTGGCGGCTTAGAAAATATGCACATTAATATTATTAGGGGGCGGAACCATTCCCACTTTTTAAAAATATTTTAAACTGCAGATGCCTCTCCCTATGTGATCCTGTATACCAAATAACAGTCTTGTATCTTATTGTGGAGCTTAGTTATGCCAATTTATTTGTTTTCGATTAATGGCGTTTTGTGGCCATTGCAGTGATCCGATTACGCCTATCTGCAATACGGATCTCCACAATAAGATACAAAACTGTTATTACACAGAAACACATTAGGGAGGGGCATCTGCAGTTTAAACTTGTTTTTTAAAGTGGGCGTGGTCCCGCCCCTAATAGGTTTATTGTGCAAATCTCCTAAGCCGCTAAAGCTATAATCACGGAATTCACTAAAACCAATTTTTTTAGCACTTCTAACGACAGTATAAAAATTGGAGAAATCGGGTGACAACTCCGCCCACTCCCATATAACGGTACTGTTAAGAACTACTGAAAGCGTGGTAAATCAAGCACTAAACACTCCAGAAATATTCAATTTTATTTCTTGGATGCTATGAGATGACTTTATAGGAACCACGTTCAAAATTATTAGATGAAAGCCCATATCTTGGGATCTGCTTAACCGATTTCAACCAAATTCTGTATATAACTTCTCATATTTCTATGTTATAGTGCGAAAATGGGCGAAATCGGATTACAACCACGCCTATTTGCCATATAACACCATTTTAAATTCCATCTGACTCTTTCACTTTCCACTATGCAAATCAAGCAAAATATATAAAGAAATCTCAAACGAGTATACCGTTTGACTTTGCGAGAGTATAAAATAATAATAAATCCTTACTTGTTAATATAGAAAAATTTAATATAATATTCTTGGTTTTGAAAGGTTAAAAAACATAGGAAATTTATGAACAATTGTTAGAAGTGTATAAGAAGTCCTCACTTTCAAAACGCACCGTTGAATTTTGGGCTGGTGAATTTAAACGTGGTCATAATAGGCTTTAAGACGATCCACGCAAAGGACGACCAAAACGACCACGTCGAATGAAGAAGTTTTACAGCCGTAGACGAGTATTTTGCAGAGCTTCCAGAAAGTCATTATAGGAATGGCAGAAAATTATTAAAGGATCATAGGAATAAGTGTAATGAAGTTAAGGGAGATTACATTGAATAAAAGAATATATTTCGTACTAAAAGCAGTATTTTTTCATTTCGAGCGCTGAAACTTTTCAACCAACCTGTATATATTTTATAGGGTCTCCAACGTGTCCTTCTGGGTGTTAAAAACTTCGGGGCAAACTCAATATAGTTCAGGGTATAAAAATGTACTGTATAAAAATTTTATTACAGCGCCACAGAAACTGAATTGGACAATCATATATTTAATATATTTACAACTGAAGCACACGCAACACCAAAGCTCCATGCCGATCAAAGCTGTTTGGATGTTTCATAAATACTTTATTGATAGTGGACAAGAAACACCAAGAAAACTAGCAATAATACCGCCGCATTAGTCGTTTCATATGTATATGGTATGTATGTATATGTATGTGATTCTTATCGTGTTTGTGGTTTCTGTTTATTGTATTAAATGTCAAAATGATAACACTAGTTTACAGTCATTTTGCGATTGGGTTGTTAGAAGCTGTTTTTGGCTAATATTGGGTTGCTAAAACCGAAAATGATAGCAAAAATTTTCTAACACCTATAGATTTTTTGTTTTGTAATCAAGGGGTGTAGGGGTCAAACCAGCACCATTTAACAAAATAACAACACATAGCTGTACATGATGGAAAAATTTTGAATTAAAATTCGTAATCAGGACACCTCAAATACCCCCACAGACCTCCTAGCACATCAGTCGCAAATTTTTCTTTCGGATTTGTTGAGTAGTGTAATTAGTAAACAGCAGCGAATCGACAGCACCGACGAAGCTATGACAGGGTACACAGTTTTTAGGAGGCTCTTTTGCAAATTGGCTGTGAAACGACGAACAACACGCCCTGCGCTACATACTAGGAAATTCAGAAAAAATCTAACCTTATTAGTAAAAGTATCATAAAAAAGTTTTGTTTCTTAAAAAATAAAAAATCTAACATTTATTCAGTTGAAAGCTGGTGAAAATCTTAACGTATTTTGAAAACGTTCAGTCATTGGCGGCACAACGAACTGTATGAGTGACAAAAAATTAAAAATAAACTGTAATTCAATTAAATGCATAGATTACCTAATAAATAAAAAAAAATTATAACTTTCAAACAACCACAGTCGAAGTTAAGTTGGTAACTCGTGTCAAACATCTATTAGTATATAATAAAATAAGCAAGTGTTAGTAATACATCAGATGTGAAAACCCACATAACATAGGAAACCACAGTAACAACACAACAACAATATATTATAAAAAGAGCAAAAGACAAAAAATAACAAACTGTAACGGCAGCCACGCTGCGAACGCTCTGTCGCGCCGCAGTGTTTGTTATCCAGTTGTCAAACCCACCTGCGAGTGAATGCTCAAACATCGAGTCTAACTATAGCACAAATCACGCTAAAAATAGCCCAAACATTGACAGCAGCGCTAAGATACGCCAAGGAATCCACTGGCTTACACTTAAACCTATCAGTACGTACATAGAAGGTATTTAAAACACAAAGTTGCGCACTGGCAGGCAGTGGAACTTCAAACTATAAGCGCTGCATTTGAAACGACGCTCATTTGCGCTCTATGGCTAGCTGTTGCTGGACGCTTGCTGAAGATAGGTACCACGGCTATTATTGTGGACTGTGTCGTAGGCAAAAACAGGTCCAAAAATAGTCACTCGCGTGTTAAACACTAATGCCGAGCAGCAACACCAACACACAACAAACGGAAAAGGTGAAAAAAATACTGCACAATCAGCAGCAAACAACAACATTCCCTGCAATTGAACATAGATTCATTTGTAAAGTGGACACAGCTTCAAAAAAACAAAAACAACTATTTTAATAACAAGCAGCGGTGCATGGGAAAAATAGTCAACATTGTAACCGACTAGAAGACTCCAAAGCACCTCGCGTACGAGCGCTTGGACCAGAGCGATGTTGAGCTCACACCGAAACAGTGCGAACCGCGCACCACAACACCGCAAACGCCAATAAACAGTAAATGAAGCATTGGATTAATCGGTGGCGTTACCGTTAGTCACATAAGTAAAAATTATAAAAGTAAAATAAAAATTAATTTAAAAAATTATAGCAATTTTGTTTAATAAGAAATTTGCAAAACGTAAAAAATTATAAATATATGTCTTAAATTGCTAGTGATGTGCAACTTGTTTACGTAAAACATAAATTCGGTTAATATCGTAACTCAGTTATCTCAAAACAAAAAAGTTCCTGAAAAGGTGATTTTGGTGAAAACAAGCGAATCATAACATTTAAGCTTTGAAGCAGAACTGCAAAATATTAGTGTACTAGCTAATAAATATAACAAAGCTTCAGAAAATTTCGGCAAAATCTGTTGCTGTCAGCGTGGGAGACGTCAGTTTGTTTATTTGTGTCCACAGGCATATAATGTTTAGAAATCGCTTAAGTACTCATATACGTAGCGGTCAGACAACAACAATCACACAAAGTAAGTAAAAATTTCAATATGGTATTAGAAACAAACAGTTACGGCAGGCATTTTTTCTTTCGGCATCAAGTGCTTTATTTGGATATTATTGAAAATGCTTTGAAATTTTACAGCAAGTAAAAATAATCATACTCGGGCTAATTTAATGTTTTTGGTATATAGTCGACCTCGTTTAAATTGATGTCAATGTCTTTTTGTACATTCATTTTCCGGTCAATGCCAGCAGTTGAAAGAACTAGATAATTGTTTATTAAGCTGGGATTAAGAAATCTAATGTATTTATATACATACATTAATACATATTTTTAGTTCAAAATCGTCGTTGAACAGTCAATTATTTAATTTTTTTATAAAATCTCTTTTCGATACTAATAAAACTAAAGAAAAGGTAATGAATTTCAAAAATGGAATCAACATTCAGTCCCTACGCCAATATACTTATGAAAATAAGAAATGTAAATACAATAGTTCAGACACAGTTATTCGACACTGTCCATCAGCTGAGGATCATTTCTGATCTGATTTCTGAATAAGGAAATAATATTCGGTCCATACACCAATATACTTATGAAAATAAGAAGGATAGATTGTTTAGACTCAGTTATTCTATGTTCATCAGCTGAGTATTTCTCTGAGGATCAGTTCTGATCTGTTTTCTGAAAATGGAATTAACATTCAGTTCATACAACAATAGAATTATGAAAATACTCAGACCCAGTTATTTATACAAATATTTGTCAATGCAAAAAATAATGGATTTTCCATTGGCATTTTACTGTAAATTATAATTATTATTTTATTGCATGCTTTTGTTTAAAAAAATATATTTTTTTATGAATTGTTTTACTTTTAAAATTTAAATTAAGATATAAACTATCATATCTGGTAAGTTAGATCACAGAAAAGAGGGCACAGAGTTTTTATATGTATGGTATATACTCGTATAGATAGATATCAAAAAATTCTTTACTTTATATTAATATTTAATTTTTTCTTCAAATCACTTCCGTGAAATTTCACTGAAAAAATGCGTATTTAATATGTGGGTTCAACATGACGTATGCGTAATTTTTAGTTCTTCGCAATCGCAATCCGCCAAAAGGATTGTGTTGTAAATATACTAATACTAGCATTTCTTCAGAAATTTACTAAAGGAAACTAATTGAATTAAAATAGTGGGTGAGGTCTTTAATAATTTGTACACATTTTGAAAGTTGTAATCAATTTATTTACGTTATTTTAATGCTCCTCATTATTTTCTCTGATGCATTTATAGCCAAATCTCCAATATAATTAAATAGACAATAACTGTGTAATAATTTCAGTAAGAATAGTTCGGAGTTGACTTCTAAACAACTGAACCGATTTCAGTAAAATTTAGCACGTTGTTTGTAGTATGATCCAACTTAAAAGATAGGATCGTTTATATCTCAATTATGTTAAAAGTAAAACAATTCATAAATAATAAAATATTTTTCTTAACATAAGAATGTGTTCAGAATTAAAAAATAATAATTATTATAATTATTAATAATGCCGAATGGAAAATTCCTTATTATACTCTTGCAACATGTTGCTACAGAGTATACAGTTTTGTTCTCCTAACGGCTGTTTGTATCACCTTAAAATAGTCAGGCTAGGTATAGGATTATAAATATATAAATGATCAGGAAGATGAGAAGAGCTGAAATCCGAGTGACTGTCTGTCTGTCCATCTGTGAAAGTGATAACTTGAGTAAAAATTAAGATATCTTAATGAAATTCGGTACAACCTTGGCAAAAATATGAGGACGAGGTTCCAGATGGGCGTGATCGTACCACTGCGACGCTCACAAATCGCCATTAATCGAAAACATATAAAATGCTATACCTACGCACCAAATTAAGATATAAAACTGTAATTTGGTACAGGGAATTGCAGTAGCCAGCGGCACCTGTGGGTTAAAATAGGTTTAATGTACATATCTCCTAAACCATTAATGCTACAATAACCAAATTCGCTTAGGAGAATTCCTGTAAGAACTTTTACCGATCCGCCGTCTCCCCATCTAAGGTTTTGTTAAAAACTACTAAAAACGCTATAAATCAATAACTAAATGCGCCAGCGGTATTAAATTTTACACGCAGGATGATTGATGACGACTTTATAGGGGTCGTTTACAAATCAAGCACCAATGAATATAACTGTTATATATCATAACTGTGAAACTTGTCAAAATCGGCCTATAACTGTTCAAGCCAGTATAACTGTTGGACCCCAGTGCGTATGGCTGACCTTTTGCCAAAAATTTCAGTCAAACTGTGAGATATATTATTAAAATTCGGGAAGCATGTTTTTTGATAGTACTACCTTGTGTCAAAAGTTGGTTGAATCGGGTTAATACTTCACTTACCTTAGCTTCTACATAACGGATATTCAAGATTTAAACATCCGGCTAGCTTAACTCCATATATATGTTTATATTATATTATATATGTTTATATTGTATATATTTATAACATTTAAGCTATTCTAAAACTAAGTGAGTCTATGACCTTCAAAATAAGTTAATATAGTACCAAATTTGAAGTTGATCCTTTTCGTTATATTTTCTAATATTTATAAAGTTTTGCCAACACCTGAAAGTATTTAGCTGGCTTTGATCCATGAAAGTCGCAAGAGTAAAAAATGTTCGGTTACACCCGAACTTAGCTCTTCCTTACTTGTTTAATAAAAAGTTTTGCCAATAAGGTATTTAGCCGGCTTTGATCCATGCAAGTTGCAAGTGTAAAAAATGTTCGGTTAGCCCGAACTAAGGGCTTACTTGTTTTTCCATTAACATAAGTATATTTGTATGAATCATTTCCAAAATTGAACCTTAAGTACAATCCTTTTGATTCTTATACGGGCAATAACGGTTTCGCCTTTATTGGCAAATAATATCTTCACTGCATTGAATAGTTTATTATAATAGTATTTAATGCTTACCATAGCAACGCATGGTCGGGTCTTACTAGTATATACAAACTGAACGATGAGCATTCTTTTTTTTTTTGTTTTTTATTCTAAAAAAAATTTTTTTCGTTTGTCTGGCACAATCTCCGAAGAAATTGTTTAGATCGGACCATTATAGCATACAGCTGCCATACAAACTGACCAATAAAAATCCAGTTTATGTAAGAAAAGCATGCACCTATGAGGTATTATAGATTTGGTGCAGTCGGAATTAAGGTTTCTTCTTGTAAAAATTAAAAATACAATGGACAATTTTACCCGCGACTATCAACGTCTACAAATTAGATCTGTAAACTGTTTCTTGACCTTTTTTCGCTCGTGATTTGCACTAACCATAGCAAAACTTGATTTCTTTCATAATGCTTATACAACGTTATAAGTATTTCAATATGAAAAATATTTTTACTAGACATATATAAGTACGAGTATATAAATCAAAAATCTGTATAAGTATATTTCTCTAACGTTTTTGCGAATTTATGGATATAAACTTGAACAAAAGAAAAAATATAACGGTTTTATTTGCAAAGTGATAACAATTATTTATTGGAACATTTTTTAAATTTCAAAAAAGCTGTGTGAATAAGAAGATAGGAGTGAAATAGACAATTGAAGAACATAGCAACAATATAATAAGAAATTTCCAAAAGTTTGACAAGCTTACTAGTAACCATTCACATATGTACCTGAAATTAAAGATTTCGATTACTAAATCCGACTTGATACCGTTATGATAGACTGAAAACGAATTCTTACCCGAAACTGCATTATAGTATATATCAATTATCACTGCTGGTATTACGAACACAACTTTTATACATAGAAATAAATAATAACCCGGCTGAGACTTAATACTATGAGAGGGCGCCTTTATAATAACTGTCAATCACAAATTTCAAGAGAAACACGCTTTGAACATAAAAATTTTAATCTATTCGAATCAGCGTTTAAATTAAAATGAATGAATTAAGTCAAGCTTATCTCTGTTTAGAAACTCAAGCACATGTGGGGTAGTGCAAGTGCCACAGATTCAAATATAAATTCCAAACACGAGTATGTTTACTTTCATACAAGTGTATAAGTGTATATATTTATGTGTGTACATTTATAGTAATTGCTTGGTATGCACTCAGTATTATTTATAATAATTTGTAATTTATTCTCTTAAGTACTTAATTGCATTCTTATACTAAGTACGGGTTTCTATGTGACCGCAAACGAAGGCGCACTGGCGTCTTCTGCGAATATTGTGTTATTGTATTTAGTATGTATGCTTGTAGGATTTCGTTGTCAAATCTATGCAGGCTATAATTACTTATTTGCTCATACATTTGTTTGCTCATGTTGGGTTCCGATTTCCCCAAGGCGGTCAGAGTTTTTTTTTGTTATTGTTGTAGCGCGTTTTATTAAAATAGATTAACTACATTTTCCAAGCAAAACTTAAGTGACAACGCTACGCCAACGCTTTCGAATTCAACAACTGAAATGTAAACAACAATAAGTTTAATTGCAAAAGCAACTGTGGCGGTGGCAACCACAAATCCATGCCCTAAATGATAAGAAATACATTGAGCGAGCTCCTCCAAAGTTATTTGTAAACATATATGTATAAATACATACACATATATGTATATGTGTAAATATTTATTTTTAAACATTGAAATTTATTTTAATACACACGCCTGTACTCTTAATGATTATTCGAAATTCGAAGCATACAAGGAATTAAAAACAATTATATGTAAGTATCACAAGACTCAACTATTGTACCCATGTTATTTATATTGTATATAAATGATATAAAACCGATAATAAAAAAATCTTACAAAATTTTATATGCAGATGATACGTTAATTTATGTTGAAAAAGAAAATGAGGGATAGTGTCCAGATAAACTTTTAAGTGATATAGAATTATTTAGTAGTTGATTATAAATGAACAAACTTAAATTAAATGAAGATAGGACTAAAATGATAAAAATAAATTTTAATGAAGCTTTTTGTATTTAAAATAAACAGCAAAACCTTAGAAAAAACTAAAAATATTTTAGAAGTATTCGCAAAAATATTGGTATAATGACAGCAATAAATATATATAATACTATTTTAAACCCCATTTTGAGTATTGCTCCCCTATTACATATACATATGTAAATGCTGCAACCAAACTCAGATGGAATGGTTCTAAACATTGTAAAATAAAGGAATGAGATTTATATTGCAATGTAGTAAATATACAACAATTAACGTAATTTTTGAAACTTTAAAATTATTATCAGCGAGTTCTAAAGCACAAAAGTTACTGTTTTCAATAGGTTGTATTGTATGTTGTACTGTATAATACATTGCCAATCGAATTAAAATACGAAACCAGGAATATAACATTTAAGAAAAAATGTATTGAATTTATTACAAGTATGTAACGTAATGTTTTATATTTTTTTTTTAATTTTGTTATACCAATAAATATTAATAATAAAAAATAATTATTATTTATACTCAATAATTGTCGTCTATATGATTTTGAAATCATATACACTCATGAGTACATCTATATATTGTGCGCTCGTAGTATTGATGTGTAACATATCTGACAATTCAAAAATTTATTCTGCAAGGAAGCAAGAGGTTATCTACCTCATAACCAATTTATATGTGCCCATGTGTTTATTTTATTATTGACATCATTGAGAACAACAATATGTGTAGACTCCCTGTAGCCGCTTAATGTATATGTATTATATGGATCTTCATTTCTTAACAATAATAATATTTTCTTACTATTTTACAAATTCTTATTGTACTTGTCTTGTTGAAGCCCAATAACCCCAGAAAAAATGGCAGTTTCGCAACATACGTATTCTTAAAAAAGATCCACTGAAATAGCTCTAAACTCGATGGTAGTAAATATTGAAAAATCCCGGAGGTAAAAAAATACGCCCTCGTAGCGTCCCTTGACATAGATCAGATGCTTAAAACAACTCAACGCTGGGTATTTTGCAATTACAGATCTGTCCAAAGAGGTATACCTCAAGGAGGAGCGTTATCTCCACTCTTTGGATCTTAACAATAAATAAAATGTTGTTAGATCTAGAAAAGGAGGTTGTACATGTTGTGGCCAACGCTGACGATGTGGCGGTTTCAGTTAAAGGTAAATTCCTTAATACGCCATATACAAATAATAGCAAATGACATAAATCGATGGGACTTATCATGCCGACTATACTGAAATACGAGCAAAACATAGCTAGTATTGTTCATTAGGATACATTAAAGAATTCCAGAAGGTATGCCGTCATGAAGGCTATCGATAGGAGAGAAAGCTATCGATAGGAGAGAAACTATTTGGGACTAATTTTAGACAGAAAGCTATCATGGAAATCACACTTAGACGCAAGGGTAAAGAAAGCAGCTACAGCACTTTATATCTGGGGCCCAAATGGAAACTTACGCCTTGTGTAACTTATTAGCTCTACAGAGGTCGATTATGGTGGTCAATTAATGGAAAAGAAATACGCGGTAAGGCGTATGAAAAGCATATTAGTCGTTTGTAGTAAGGAGCATTCTAAGTTACTTTACAAGTTCCCGTTTCGACTCAATACCACGGATGCTCCTAATCCTTTAGAAATAAACTTAACTTCGGGCCCCAATATTGCCTTCTTTTTCAGATAGGAGTGGGATAGGGGTGAGGTGGACGAGGACACAAGGATAAGTATCTATACGGATGGGTCCAAACTAGGTAATCGAGTGGCAGGAGGTGTCTTTTCAGCAAAACCGACTATCTTCCGACTACCAGACCACTGCAGTGTCTTCCAAGCGAAGATCACGGCAATTAAAGAAAGCCTTCTTGTTCTGACAAAGAATGTACTCACAACAAGATACATATTTATATATGTTTATAGATAGTCAAGCGACTTTGAAATCACTAAAGTCTTTAAGATTTCATCGATGATAGTGAAAGAATGCCTCAATCTGATAGTGGATCTAACCTATCCTTTTTCACGGTGAACCTGCAATGGGTGATATTCCTGGCAACTGTGAAGCAGAGAAACTAGTCAGAGCACCATCCCTACAATTAGATTCAGATAAAGAGGGAACATCTTCTATACGAATGCAAGGCTATGTCTAAGAAAATAATCTCTACTATCAGCCAAGCGCTTTTTTTTTGAATTGATGAACTTTATCAGCAGCACAGGGTGGTTCAGAGAGGACCAAATAGAGGGAGGGAGAGCCCAGTGGTTTTACAATGGACCTCCTAGGGGCCTAGGTGCGTCGTCAGACATCCACCCTACCTACTTGCTTCTTTCCAAATTACATTTTATCAAACGGTTTGGTGAAATCGATTTCAATTTTGACAAAATTTTCGCTGCTGAATATATTTTATGAAGATAAAAGGTAAAAATAATAAATAATAAAAATAAAAAAATAGGCCCAGCGGTATTTATGCAAATCCACCCCCGAATTAAAACACGACTTTTGACTGCCAATAATATCTATAAGAATAGCCTTTCCTTCATAACAAACACGCCACTCTCATTATACTAGGGATTTGCCGATGCTTAACCGCATACATTGATTAATAGAAGTGTGTATGTATCTATAAATAATTCAGAAAAATAAAGTTGTATTCCATGAATATGGATAAGATTTTCGTTTCTAGTTCGAATTCAAGGCCAATACACGCTCTCAACCTACATAGTGTTTTGCGACACACTTCCTCCAATTTAGTGGCTCACTAGTACTTCCAACACTTCGTAAATATAATATACACTTACTCCACAATCACGATTTCGTTAGCGCAATAGTCCAATTATTTTTGATTTAAAGTCTTACATCTTTTGCTATTGCTTTTGCTTGTATAATGCAATCTTTATTCTATTTTACTCAATATTACTTTTTGAGGCTCAAACAAAAAACATATTTCAAGTATTTTATAATTATGTTATTTACTTACAGATGATGTTTCCAAAACACACCGTAAATTTTCCAAACCTGTTGTGCCTTAGTTTAGTCGTTATCAGTTTTGTATTTTGTGTGGAACTATCGCCGCACTGTACAGAAGCTCTACCCTTACTTCCCGGTGGCAGTAATGATGTGGAGTTTAAACGCTACTGTAGTACTAATCTCTCAGATGCCATCCGTCTCATATGCGGGGGACGCTACTACTCACTATCCCGAAAATTTCGTAAGTATACAGACAAATTTAAGTTTTTGTAAACATAATTTAATTTTTTATTATGCATTGTTTATTATATGCAGCCGATAGTGTTGGCATGGGGCACGTGTCCAGCCTGAAGCGGTTAGCCGGCGAGGAAGGTGAATATCGACAACCTTTTCAAGGTGCAATACACGAGTGCTGTCGGCGTCCGTGCGGGTATCCGGAGCTCAAATCATATTGTGAACCCGATAACTGATCTTCAATGATATGCTACACGCGAAATTTCATTAATTTACATACATATGTATTAGCTATAACCTCATGCACTTGAATCATACGAATTTGTTTTAACGTCTTTATAGTAATTAAATTAAAATCAATTAGCTTAGTTTAAGAATTAAATGTCTCGGATATTATATGTATATTGCTATATAATATAGTATATGTATGTATACATAAGCGCATTGTGTGGTAGTCTGAGTAGTGAAAACAGGAGAATTTAAAGGTTGATATTGCGACCCATGTGATATAAGTACGTGAAGTTAAATTATTTTTATAAAACAATGATGAAAACAACAAAGCAGTCAGCAGCAATTTACGAACTGGAGAGATGCTAGCCCAAGAAAAAGTTTGAAAGAGTGGACCAGATCGTTTTATTATTCCAGTAAAGCTGCCAATTTGCTGTACTTTGTATTTGTATGTCCATATATGCATGTAAACATATTTATATGTGTATATATGTATATTAAAAAACGTGGCTTGTGCTGTTTACAAATTTTATATTAGGAGTATTTGTTGAAATTATTGAATAAATTATTTGTTTTGTTTTATTGCTACTAAAATGCATTATTTCTAGTTAAATTGAATTTAGTTAAATTGACGCACAGAAACAACGGAATTTATTGATAGTTAAATCATTTATCGTTTATAATTTAATATAATATAAATTGCTCGCTATTAAACTTTGTATGTAATATCTGCAAATATATAATTTATATAAAAACAGAACCGTACTAATGACTAATAAAAAAAAAAATAATGTAATTCAAGCAAATTGATTTTGTTTCCTTCGAACTTGAACACGTATTTGATTTCCGAGAACAAAAAATGTCGGACGGGACCAAATCTGATGAATAAGTTTTCTGAACGATGAACATTCTTTCAAACTATAATGCATAAGCGAGGTGAAAAATTCCTGAATTGTTTGTGTTGAGTCCATCCACAAAAGTAATTGAGCGCCTCTATCCCACTCATTCTAATATGGTGGTCTTCGCACAAAATTATTTTGACATTTCGACGTAAGCCTAAGAAGAAGGACAACTGGCATAAGAAATCGAATCAACGATCAATTATAAGAGTAGACCCCCTGAAATACGCACATGTCATATTCTAATTCCTCTTAAACTTATGCCGCAACTAGTAACCGACGTGCCGCCATTCCGTACTTACCGTACGTATCAAACGAAATTTGTCAAAGTTTCTCAGTAGTGACAACGTAGAATTAGTTGTTCATTGCTGACTTTTTATAGATGGTTTTGCACACATTTAGCTTTTCAGTTTTAATTTTTCTTAATGTAAAATATCAAAACTAAAATCCGACTATTAAAAACAGTCTACCTATTTATAAATAATTATATTCGACTGTGATTTTGAGTTAGTTTAAAATATTTCAAATATATTCAAGTATATTTTTTAATTACTACAAAATATCGATACCAGCAACCCTGCGTTATAATAGAGTAATCAGCTGACAAGTTTCTACGGGAAGAATCCAATTTTCGCGGGTATCCCACATTACGGACAATAGAAGCGTACGGTAGAAGCGGTGGTGAGTATTTATTTACATTGTCAGCTGATACGGTCCACGGTTTTGCATCGTTCACTAACTGATTACACGGTCATCAAGTAGTTTTTACCAGAGAATGTAGATTATAGAGTAGGTTCACAGTGCGGCCATTATCAAAATTTCGCCACAATTAACATCAGGGGACTCAAAAATAGCAGAATTGAGTATTTTCAGTGTTAACTGAAAACAAGTAATGAAGGACTAAGTTTGAATGTAACCTTAAAAATAAATTTGTTTCTGATTAATGGCGTTCTGTGGGCGTGTCAGTTGTCCGATTACGCCTATCTGCAATACCAACCGTCTTACGGTATTAAGAAATAGTATGTACCAAGTTTCATAAAGATATCTCAATTTTTACTCAAGTTACAGCTTGCACAGACGGGCCGAAAGTCAACCGGATATCAACTCGTCTCTTCATCCTGATTATTTATATATATAAAACCCTATATCTAACTCGATTAGTTTTAGGTGATACAAACAACCGTAAGCTGAACAAAACTATTATACTCTGTAGCAACATGTTGACAGAGTAGAAAAATAGTGCTAATTCAAATGTTAAGAAATGTACGCTTGCAGATTCGTTAATCTACAATGCGCAAACCTTCTTTCCATATATGTGTGTATGTAATTTATAAACAATCTGTATATTTTTGATATCAAAAGGCATAAGTATCTGCATATGTACATATGTTCAAATTGACCTATTTCATGCATCATGATGAATTCCATAAAATCTTTTGAAATATACATATGTACATATAATAATGTAAGGATTGTATTATAACCTAATTATTTAATTTATATGCATAGGTTTTATAAATAATATATTTATGTACATATATATTTATTTGCTTTGGTCATTAAAAGTTTTGATAACATCTGAATAGACCAAGCGGTCGCACATATGCTCATACATATATAATTATGTCTGCATGTAAACAAATAAGTTTGAACGAACCAAAAGCATAATGTTTGTAAATTTGTATAAATACAACTTTGTATGAAGGTATCTATACCCGAGTTCACGTTTTTTGCTTTCATGTCAAAGAGTCACTGTATCGAAGGACTGACGTTACGACAAATTGTCACCGCTTCCATGTCGCTTTTACAGCTTTGCCTACAAACCATCGTAAATATGTAGTTTTATGTATAGCATGCATACATATCGACGCAGATTTTTGCGAGTCACGGAAAACTAATTTAGAATTGACAAATATTTTAAATCGACAAGAGCTATGTTGCCGCTTTTTTCTGTATTTTGTGGGTTTGCGGGGTTGTCACTTTTCCCTTCTAGAGGGAACATCAGAGGTTGTTCAATTTATGATTTTAAGCTTTTGCCTTTTTGAAGCGAAGTTGCCTGTTGAAAGGGGCTTCCGTTAATAAATGAAAATGTTGTTGCTGTGTAATTTACTATAAATTTGGGCTTCGACTATTTGGCTGTCACATTGACTTCTGATGCTGCTTATGCCATTTGAGACGATTGTTGTTTTTGTAGAAAATGTTTGTAGTTTTTGCGCGTGACATATGTATATAGGTTTGTAGTATTTATATGGCAATGTACATATGTAAGTATGTACATTTAGAGCAGTCCGCGCACATGTTATTACTGATAAGTGATAATATCGAGATTTGAATGCGTGAAGGTGTACATATATACATATGTGCATGATACTTGCGTACGTATATATGTATGTATGTTTTAAATGATGAAAGGTAGGATTTAAATTAATTACTATTGTAATATATTAAGTTTATAGTATATTATGTTAGGTTCTGACAATTCACACGCTTGTCCATAGTTGAACCTTCTCTATAATCTACATTTTCTGGATAGAATATAAGATTACGTCAACCACCATATTGTGACGTATTTCTTTTGGAATGGGAAAAGGCAACATAGAAAAACTGTCAAATAGTAAATAAAATTGTAAACAAAAACGAAAATATTTTTTACTTCGTGAAATAGACTTAATTTATTAGTTTATAGTAATCAATACATTTATCTATTGACAACATAATTACGAATTAAGTGAATGATTAAAAGGGATTTTGGATGCGGTATTCAGCAGTAGTCTCTTTTATTAAACACAAATATACATATGTATATGAATAACAGTTCTCTTTATTACTTCTACAAAAAAATACCAATGTTTTTCCAACATTTATATCCGAAGGAAAACTGAAAAAATCGTTTTCAATAGTTATTGCAACTGCACACTTAATTTTTCAAAATCAATATATTTTATACATATAAATGTAAATAAATAAATACTTCGTAATCAAAATCCCTTTTAACCATTCACATAATTGGCAATTATATTGCCAATAGATAAATGTATTAATTAAAAATTACCCCTATTTTCCCGCAATATTATTTTATTAATTTCACTAAACCTTTTTTACTATAAACTAATAAATTAAGTTTATTTCACGAATTAACAAAAGGGTTTACGTTTTTATTTACAATTACTGTTTTATGCTTCTTCTTCGCATCCCAAAAGAGTTACGCCACATGATGGCGATGTAGAGCAATTTGTTTTAGTAACAATTGTCACAACTTAATAGAATAAACAGTCACCGACATTCCTCCCTTCCGTACTTACCGCGGCTTGATAAGCCAAATTTGTCAAAAGTTATGCCCGTAGTTGCAACGCAGAAATTAGTTGTTCTCTTTTGTTTTCATTTCACCATTGTTCTATTTGTATACACGATTTTTCTAACATTTTTTTAGTTATAATTTTTCATAATGTAAAAGCTCAAAACTAAAATCCAAATATTAAAAATAGTTTACCAATTTCTAAGTAAGTATATTCGACTGTGGTTTTGAGTTATTTTAAGAATATTGCAAATATATTCAAGTTAGTTTTTTAATAGCTACTAATTATCGAGATTGGCAACCCTGCATTGCAAGAGATTGCTCTCTCATTCTCAGCTCAAACGTTTCTACGGAAAAAATTCAATTTTCGCGGATATCCTACCGTACGGTTTGTTGAAGCGGACTCGTAGAAGCGGTGGTGACTGTTCATTTACATTGCGCTCTCATAAGATGGGTCGTATCAGCTGATTCGGTCACGGTTTTGCTTCATTGACTGTTTGTGCTATAAACCTAAAACAAATAACGGTAATGTGTATTTTTATACTCTCGCAACATGTTACTACAGAGTATAATAGTTTTGTTCACCTAACGGTTATTTGTAATACCTAAACCGAAACGAGTTAAATATAGAGTTATGTTTATCTATATATATATATATAAATTACGTATCTAAATAACTGTGGCCATAAGAACGCGTGTATTTTAATTTTTGACAGATGCTGCCTGTCGCTACAAACCCATTAGAAAGTGCATTTCGCAAGCTACCCGTATATCAGCACAGTTGAGAGCTCATGGGGCTCGTATGTCAGCACGGTTTGAAACGCTTGGGGCGCGTTTGTCAACATATTCAGGAGAACAGGTAGCGCGTGTACCGGCACAGGTGTGCTCTTAGTTGGAATAGCATGCGCGTATATCAGCATGGGTTTCCTTATAGTCGGAAGAGCAGGACAAAATTAAGGCTGAAGTGGATGAGTCATGGCACAAAGATCCAGATTTAAAAAGTCCAGTATGAGAAAACGAAGATGGGGAAAGATGGTTGTTATTCCCAATTTTCCCGAACTTCTTAACGAGCTGCATAACGGTTCAAGTGAAGTGCAGTGGGAATCACGAAATCCTTGGAAAAATTAAAACAAAAGTTTTATGAGGTTGGTTATCGTTTTACAGGGTATATAGGGGATAGAGAAAGAGACAGGCTGATTGCATTAATTATAACATTACTCAGGTATACTCGAGAACATACTTTGAAGTGAATTCAGCCGGATGTTTGATAATCCTGATAATAGTTATATTTCGCCCAATTTTGTTATTAGTAAAACAAGCTCCCTAAATTTTAATGATAACTCACATATTGGCCGATATATGCGGTATAAAGTAACCCGGAAATTCAAAAATCTTTATATTAGGTATATAGGGGCTAAGAGAAGTATTGACCTGATTCAACCCATTTTTGACATTCAGACATACTATAAGCAGGAAAGGATTCTCCCCGAAGTTCAATTATATATCTCGCACATTGACCAATATTTTCGGTTAAAAGTCAACTATAGGCGTTACTCGGTACCTTGGGGCTTGAACAGTTTTGGTTCACGCTCATCTTCCAATTTTGGACGCGGCTGTTATACAGATCTCTCATACCATCTGGATGGTAAAATTTAATAACTTTAGAGTTATTTATATTTAGTTATTGATTCATCGCGTTTTAAGTAGTTTTTAACAGTACCGTTATATGAGGAGTGGGCGAGGCTATCATCAGATCAGGGGTACTTAAGAGATTTGGTTGTTTTAGCTTGAATGGTTTGGTACTCCAAGCTATTGCAATCCAATATGTCAAACTACAGCTCTATATCTTAATTCAGTGCTTAGTTATGGCACTTTAGAGGTTTTCGTTTAATGGCGTTTTGTGGGTGTGGCAGTGGTCTGATTACGCTCATCTACGAACTCGTCGGTTTTTTGCCAACAAATACGTGGACCAAGTTTCATCACGATGTCTATATTTTTACTCAAGTTACAGCTTGCACAGACAGACGGACCGACAGACAGGCATCCGGATTTTAACTCGTCTCGTCAAGCTGATCATTTATACTTGTATATATAACCCTATATCTATCTCGATTAGTTTTAGGTTATTCAAACAACCGTTAGATGAACAAAACTATTATACTCTTTAGCAACATGTTGCAAGAGTATAAAAATAAAATAACAGAACTCTTGCAATCTCTGTACGTATATATCACTTTGAACGCATCGATAATTTTCAACGTAAATGTAATATGGGAAATCCTAGAAAGAGAAATAGACTTTTTTTTGTTGACTTTCATACGCTTGTTTTTGATATACAAGTTTAAATCGCCTTCTATCAATTGTCTTCACCACAGCTGTCAATATTTTAATATTATTATATTACTAATGTAATATATAAGCATATAAAAAATTAAAGATTTACAGAATATTAAACATGATTAGATAAAATTGAATATTCATGAACTATAAATTTTCAGGCCAAAACTAAAAAAATTGGCAAACAACCAAAACACCCGCAAAATATCATGTTTTCTATTAAAACTAACCAATATGTCCGCAAATTTTCATAAATTATTTCCATTTTTATACTTACTTTTCATTTATCGAAATAATTACTATCGGCTTTAAAAAATACGTCAAGACAGCAGATAATGATTGTTACAATGCCATAGTGTGAACACATTTATTGCATCCAATGCAACTCTTCGTTATATTATTTTTGTTTGTTACAGTTTTGGAATGTTGCTGCATATAATAAACATATCTTCTATTTAGAATACTGCAAAATATATACTACTATTTCATTGAAAAATAAAACATTGAGATATTCGAACCTTTAATGTAGTGCCAAATCTATTTGTATTAAAATGTATCGAAAAGCACAACCTGATTGCCTTCGTTACTTCTTGTCTAAACTAAGTTCAGGCAGCTCAAGCTCTGCACAAGTTGAGGAATTGGCACGCGTGCTTGTGGAAGTGGGCAATTACGAAAAATGTAACTAATTAATTATATTATATTAATTCTTTAAAGTAATATATAACCAAATAACAGCGCTAGCATCAGAAACCGTACAAAATGCTTTGAAGGATGGTATACTCAAACCGGTGCTACACAACAATGCAGGATCCTCCAGAGTTCCGCGTTTATTGCGTTTACCAAAACAGAAGGAAATTTTAGTAATGTCAAATTAAACGATTTATGTTCTTCAAAGATTGAAGTCTAAATGTAATTTTTTTTAACAGGAGAATAATTCACATGATTTCTACTGTTATGAGTGTCATTTACCGGGCGCCTTAACGCACTGTCGACAGTGCTCCCGTTCGTTTCATCGACTCTGCTATCGCAAAGAACCTGAACGGCCCAATTACACGGTACCATCAGGGAAATTTCAAAAGAATCGTCCACCGGCCTTCAGTTCAGACACTGATGCTGACTCTGATGCCGATGACACAGTACAGGAAAATACTTCCTTTGATTATGAGAGTGACGTAAGGATATCATCATCATTGCTGCAAATAGATACAGGTTCTACTAACAGTGGAGGCCAACAGCGCTTCACCGAAGAGATTACAGTTGATAGCACATCCTCGCCTATTCAAACCGATTTGAATAACATTGAAGATGAAGTAGCGAATACGTCAAACGCAACAAAAATTGGCACTGAGCTAAATAGAAATCAGAAAATCTATCGGGAAGATTTTGAAATAGAGTCAAAGACTAAAGTGGAAGTTGTTTGCATGGGCGAAATACGACCCCCAACACGAAAACGTCCACGCACTCTCACCTCAAATTTGTCGTATAAAAGTGAGATCGGCTTAAATGAAGAACTGGAATCAGATTTTGAACTTTGTACTTGTTGTCGACTGTTAAAAACAGCTGAGCTGCGACATCCTCCAAATATGCGACCGGACGAATTAAGTTACTTGATTGATTTTACGTTTGAGCGTAATCGTTCGTGGGTGAGCATACAAAGTGGTTTATGTATTACTTTAACCTTGGGTTAATCTTATAATTAAGATATAGTCATTCATATTATATTCATATTCAGAAAAATAACACTTTTAATCATAAACAGGTCAGTAATGACGTCCAAAGTTACTTAGAGTCAATAAAAATACCTGTTGGGGTGATTTCGGACGTTTCAAAATTACTATTTAAATTTCCCGAAAAACATTTGGATTCCATAGCAGCTAAATTGAAAGAAATGCAGTATAACCTCTTGACTGAATTCTTTGTAGACGTTCTTGACTTGCAACATAATATTGGTGTATTTTTTGGTCGTAAGTAGTAAGATAAAGACAAAAACTACGACAAAAAATATTTGTAATGTTCTCAACAGCTAATAGCATGGAAATGGAAGCTACGAAATGGATGGTTCGTGACATTGCATACGATTTGGCTGAGATTCGTCGTTGTCCAGATTGTTTTCGGCACTCACATGAAAAACATTCTAACGTTTGGTTTGCGAAACCCTGCGTTCAACGTCACGAATTAGTTTTTGCAAAGCACAGTGGTTTCACATATTGGCCTGCAAAAGTAATTCGACTTCTGCCAAATAATAAATACGATGTTCGTTTTTTCGGCGGTAATCATTCACGTGCACTCATCGAATCGCGTTTAATTCGCTCAATCGATACAGATATAAAGTCTTTAAAGATCGGCAATAAGCCGGCTATTAAAAAAGCGCTGGAAGAACTACGTATACATCAAGTTTTATCAGCATATCCGCCTTGTATATTTTCTTTTCATGCAAACAAAAATGAAATGGAGCAAATTATAAGGAATGCTTTACAAAGAACAGCAAATCAGTTCCTGGAGAACACTAATAAGACAAGAAAACCACCAATTCGTCGGCAAACGATTTGTAACACTGCTCCACCTATTAGAATGGATACTCGCTTGGATATTTCTGACGACATAGTGTCTTTGCCTCATGTCGAACCGCCTATGCTGAGTGACAGCGGATTCCTAAATGATACAGAAACCAGATCAAGAACGAGAAGGTTAATATTTTCATAACGAGTAATCTCAATTTCATATAGAATAACTATTCTTAATTTCATTATAATTTTTCAGATCGCAGTATAGCAACCCAAAGTCATCAAAACGACTAACACGTTCTTCGAATACTCTAATAAGTGTGGCAGATTTAAAACAGGTGGCTAAAATGAAATATTCAAAGATATTGTCAGTAAGCAAAAAAGAAAATCTCATAAATTTAGGTTCAAGATCAACTTGATGACGCCTTAAAAGTAGTAGCAGCTACACAAAAGAAAAATGAAAAATTGCAAGCGAATATAGAAAAGCTAAAAGCATCAATTAAAAAACATGAACATGAAAAGAAAATCCTTAAACGAAAGCAATGGGTGGGTAACTGTGCACTTCAAAATACACGAAGTTTATACAAAACATTGCTGATGTATTTTTTATTTTTGTAGTGCTATTGGTGCCTCAATGAAGCGATTTACTTATGTTGTTTTCGTGCTGCATATTGTTCGCAAATTTGCCAATCACGGCATTGGAAAGACGGTCACAGTAAAGTGTGTAGGAATCAAAATGATCAACGCCAAGCAAGCTCCACAACATGAAATTGCGATGTTATTAAATCTTTATTGTTAGGTTTTTAATGATATTTATATAGGTTATATGCTCTGATTAGGTTCTGTTAAATCGTTTTTGAAAACTAATAATTTTATACACAGTTACACAATTAAATTCCTCAAGTGCTCCCATAAGGGGTTTGTTTTGATTAGGCCTTTGTAATTGTTTACCTTTTCTTTTTTACCTATGACAATATTTATATTTCGTACACGAATTCATTAGGTTTAGATATTTGGTTTACATCACTAAAACTGTATCACTAATCTTCAAGTAAAAAGTTAGAAGCTCATAATTGGTATTTAAAATTAGCAAATGGGAGTAAATGCATATTTTATCAATGTACATATTATAAAACGAGAAGTGGATTAGAGAAGAGTTGAAATAAAAATTAATAATGTTAAGAATAATTTGGATGAATTTTGCACTGTAGATGGCGGTTTATGCGATACAAAAAATGTATTCTGTGGGGAACCACACTCAAGAGTTTAGGTGCTGACATCGCATTTATATAAGATCGAGCAAACGAGTTCTTTATACATAGAAATATGGAAGTAAGATATTGATTGATTTCTTACAAATACTGTCAAGTGCTGCTGGTAGAATGCATGCCATGCATTGTGTGTTCTTTGTTGGTTAAAAAAATACACCGTCTGATTTAAATCATTCTGGTTGTGAAATCAGGCTGTAAAATAAAAGTAAAATAAAACTTTTTTTGTTTCATTAGAAAAAAAAACGACTATATAAAAAGTTTTAAGTGAATAATCCAAAAATTATTGGTCTTTATATATAAACACTACCACTAATGGAATACTTATAATTATCCAAGCACTTGACATATACTTTTTTTTTTAAATAACATGTATACACACAATTTTTATAACGATTTAATAAAAAAAAAAAAAAATTATTTCAGTCCAAAATTTCCAAAACAAAAAAAATAAAAAGTATCTTACACCAGAGTCGTATTATACTAGATAAGTACTAGCAATCTTGTGTATTTCATTCGTTCAGATTAAAATAGTGTTTCACATCATGACTATCATTTTACAGTATCGTTCGAATTTAATTCGCTTATACAAACATTTAATATCAAAGTAAAAATCTCAATATTTATTTTGGTCCCAACATTTCCGATGGTTTAACCCATTGCTCAAATTGCTCGGCAGTTAGGTAGCCTAAGTTGATGGCTTCCTCCTTCAAAGTGGTGCCATTTTTATGGGCAGTCTTAGCAATCTTGGCAGCTTTGTCGTAGCCAATATGGGGATTCAAGGCAGTCACTAACATTAAGGATTCTGCCATGATCTTTCCAATGCGATCGCGATTCGCCTGTATTCCATTGACGCAATTGGAGGTAAATGTACGTGAGCCATCAGCTTTTAAAACAATTAAACCATAAATAAGCAGGTATGTACTTAAAATGATATTTCTCACTTACATAGCAAGCGAATGGAACGTAAAACGTTCGAGACGATTAAAGGTTTGAAAACATTTAATTCGAAATGTCCATTGGCGCCGCCTACAGTTACCGCCACATGGTTGCCCATAACTTGTGCCGCTAACATAGTTAGTGATTCGCATTGAGTTGGATTCACTTTTCCCGGCATAATCGAACTTCCTGGCTCGTTTTCAGGCAGCATCAGTTCACCCAAGCCACAACGAGGACCTGAACCAAGGAAACGAATATCGTTGCCAATTTTCATTAAGCTAACGGCGATTGTATTTAAAACACCATGCACTTCCACCATAGCATCACGTGCTGCCAAGGCTTCAAACTTGTTTGGCGCTGATACAAAAGGCAGTTTGGTAAGTTGAGCAATGCGTGCGGCACATTTTTCCGCAAAACCAATACGGGTGTTGAGGCCAGTGCCAACAGCTGTACCGCCCAAAGCCAATTCGTAAACGCGCGGCAGAGCGGCATCGATGCGATCGAGCGCATATGCCAATTGTTGAGCATAAGCGCTAAATTCTTGACCCAACGTCAGTGGCACTGCATCCATGGTATGTGTACGTCCAATTTTGATGATATCTTTGAATTCGTCAGATTTGGCTTTAAGAGCATCATGCAAAATTTTTATGGCAGGTTTAAGGTTATTGTTGAGTTCCAATGCAACCGAAATATGAATAGCTGTAGGGAATGTGTCATTAGAGCTCTGCGACTTATTCACATGATCATTAGGATGGACGGGGCTCTTTGAACCCAATTCACCACCCATCATTTCAATGGCACGGTTGCTGATCACCTAATATGTAAGTAAAAAATGTACAATTCATTAATTAAATATGGTAATCAATCAACAAGTGACTTTAAAGTTTAATCGGCTATGTGTTTACCTCATTGACATTCATATTAGTTTGTGTGCCTGAACCTGTTTGCCAAATCACCAAGGGAAAATGATCTTCATACAATTTACCGGATATGACATCATCAGCAGCTTTCGAAATAGCGTCACTGACCTTGGCGTCAAGACCATACTCCTTGTTCACCTCAGCGGCAGCTTTCTTTAAAATTCCCATCGCTTGAATAACCGGTTGCTAAACAAAAATGCAAATGTTAGACGCTTCTACTACCTGTAATTTAACGTAATGCAGCTTACCGGCATGCGCTCAGAAGATCCGCCAATCGGAAAATTTAATTTGGATCGCATTGTCTGGGCGCCATAATACTTCTCAGCTGGAACTTTTAGTTCGCCAAATGTGTCGGATTCTACACGATACGCTTCGGAGGCCTACAAACAAATATATTATTGATTAACACATGCTTACATAAGCCAAAATTACGGAACAAAAACAATACGAAAAAATCTATAAACTAAAAAATCTCCCGTACCATTTTAAAAGTGTGCAATTTAGTTCAGTCGCTCTGCTACTGAAATAATAACATCACGAGACAACAAATTTTACTGACTATTCGACGTGCAAATGTTCACAGATAAGCAAATAAATTAAAACGCTTTATCAACATATTTAAGAATGTGTATAAATATATACTTGTATGTTACACTGCTGGACATTTATATAAAAGTTTTTTGATTATAACCTTGGTGCCTTGATGTTTTGGGGGCTTGACAGAAACTGAGTAAAATACGACAAATATATAAGTTTTAAACTGATAAAGAATTACAATCTATACAGATATTTGATTTCAATTCAGTTTTTATTTCTATTCATATGCAGTATAGATATTAGCACATTGATGTTTGTTTATATGTATGTACATATGGTACATAAATTAACTCTGAAAATTTATATAACCGGAAAGTAAATTACTTTATAGTGAGACTTCAAATTGTAATTCGAATTTTAATTGGCATATACTAACTATATGTCCCCTTAATATTCAATTTAACGGCTTTTAAATTTTCCCTAGCAGTCAATCTGCCTTTAAACAGCGTTTAACAGGCATTTACGGTGTGAACGGCAAAAAATAGCATCAATTAGCACGTCAAAAGCAAGAGCATGGATTAAGGTCTGTTATGTCACAGTATGTGGAATATTTATATATACATAAAAATAATTTATGACTATAGTCAATGAAGATGTTTGAGGAAACATTATAATAGCTTAACTAGCTTTCAAACAGGTTGCACTACTATGTTCTATTAAACTTTTAACTTTTTTTTATGTCTTTTAACTTAAACTTTTTGTAATTTCTTTTTTCGTACGTTCGTACGTACGTTTTCTTAATTTCGTAAGTTCTCATAAGATCTTATAATTTATGCTCTGACACAGCTAGGCGTATACCATACATTGGTATGTAATTTGTACATCAATTCGTGATTCAATTGATAGTAAAGAAAATAGATTTGAGTTTTAATTTTATAAATATAATGCATATAATAAGAAACAACCTTAAACGTGTTAAACATGTTAAACTATTTCCTTAAGGGGTTAGGAGTAGTCTTTTTAACACATCTAATGTATATTTACATTTTATTAAAGTATAATTTCTTTTGAGCTGGTGACCACTGTAGCTCGAAATTGATGCCTGATCGAAGGATTTTTTATTTCGATTTTTTATAAACAATCAACTTTGTTTTTCGCAAAATCTAGAAATAAATTTCCTGAGGCCGCCATTTGGTAAATTAAAAAAGCTTCGATCATGCACCAGATTATCTATTAATAAAACTAATTTATTTGTCTAACTGACTTTAGATGAATTTCCAAGAATTAATGGTAGTCACCGCAAAGAGCATTACTTTAGAAAAAATATTTTTTTTTTCAAATTTCTGTCAACTCAAGTGGAAACGCTAATGCATCATATTTATGATGCTATATTTTTATTAAAGCCAAAGAACTTCTGCTTATCAACAACATAATGTACAACATATTTTTTTATCCAATTTTTTCTATACCATTTTGTGTTTGATGTTATGATATAGTTATTTATTTTCACATTATTATCATGTAGACACCGAAGACAGATGCCACGTTTAATACAAAGTTGTTCAAACCCTTGACATTCTTATACAAATTTATTTGTTGTTAAGTGGACAAATTATATAGTTTTTAAGGAGGAGTGCCACTCAAAGAGCTTACAGCGGTATTTAGTTGATTAACTAACATTGTAGAATATTTTATTTAAACTAATATGAACTGTGCTTTATCATTCAAACAGATACCAATTTAACATTACAGCCTTTAACACCGCTTGCAGTAAATGCAGATTTCAACTTTAATTTGGTTGATGGTGGTTCTTTGAAGCCTTGATCGACCAAATCAATTCTCATCGTGATAAACATTAATCGAAACAAAATCGAAAGTTTCAAATGCAGCAAACAAATCATAGGGAGTCAGGTGCCCACTCAACGTTCAGGAAAACCCTTATTCAGTTAGAGTAAAACGTCAAGTTTATGCATGCGCAACGGGGGTTCTTCGGTACCCAAAAGAAAAGATTTATTCTTAAATAAAAATGCGCCGCCTCTGGGCCATCGTGATAAATATTCACCTATTTTGATGTAGGTGTAGGATGTATTTTTTTTAATATCAAGTTAAAATTCTAAAATATTGGGATTATTTTGCGCAATACGGCAGAAAATGAACATGCAAAGGTTTTGAATACCTAGTGGTTACAAATCGTGACACCTCGTAAAATTGATTAAAGCCATTGAAATTGGGGGAACTTTGTACTAATATGAATGTGATTTAACTCATTTGATTTAGTTTTTAATTTTGTGGAAGTTATATGTAAAACACTATCAGGTATTACACCTGCTACAAAATAATAAACCAATTGTTTAAACAAGAAGAATGCCTAAATGTACAAACCAGATTTTTTAACTAATATTTTAAGTCTGTATTATTTTAAATGTGGTTTATGTAAGAAAAAAAATGTACTTATAAAAGGACTTCATTAATACTTTCTGCTTCATAAATATAGAATTTATTGTGCACAAATACATATGCATATGTATGTATACATTTTTTTTTTGTTCGACAAAATTTCAAAGAAATATAACATAATCACCATTCTTAAAATTTTTAATTATAAACAGCTTTCACTTTTTTTTGACGGTTCATACAAAACCAACTTTAATGCAGAAAATAACTTTCTACACACGAAATGTACATGGGGTGACGGTACATATACGTGGAAATATTTTTAACACGACCGATAGCTGTAGATAGCTGAACGAGACTAATGTGATATGTTATGTTGTCCGGTAATTAAACCGGCATTGCTGTAGTAACCTTGAGTCGTTTATGAACAAATGTGTTGATTCTGATATCGTAAAAGAAAGCATACATAAATGCATCGTAATTTTTATATAATTAAAATACACCGATTCACCTGAAAGTTGTTGTGTCTGAGCGTTACTAAATCTAACCTCACATATTTGTTTTTCACATTTTCAATAAAAATTATTTTTTGTATTCCATTCAAATAATAAAGTATGTATCCTTTTAAATGTTAAGTCAGTGGGCGCACAAATTACAGTCATTTTAACAATTTGAACATAAATAGTTAGGAATATAATTAACATTACATAACCATTCCCTTATTTAATTTGTCCGGCTGTCGATTGCATTGTTCTAAGCAATAGAGATATTACTTACCAATCCTCTATTGATAAGTGGTGAATGCACCCAACTGCATGCGCTCAGTTGCTGTAGACTGCGTGCCAAATTTGCAAATCGTCCCATAGCTTGAAGCACCATTTTCCCTAATAATAAATACACAAGACTTTCTGATTAGTTTTACGCTAGCAGCAATACAAATCCACTACTTAAATCGACTACAGATGTGGAATAATTTGTTTTGTTATCGAATACTCATCTGATAAACTAAAAATAAAAGAAAAAGGAAGTAGCGAAATGAGAACATGAAAGGGAGTGAATTGACAACAGTAAACCTTGCAAAAACAAATTTCTGATTAACAAATCCTGCAAAATTTTTAAATAGAGCAACATAAAAGTTTTCAATAGTTTAAATAGAAAACTACATATTATATTTTTTGAAGTAATTTTACCATAAGTCTATCTAAAAATATTCTTAATATTAAAGTTAGAATAAAATAGATTGAGGTTGCACTGAGAAGTCTATTGCGCACCTCCCTCTTTCACACGGCCAGCGCTTTGATGAATGCCAAGATCCTGTTAGACGCTATTGAACCAATGTGCTCCCTATTTGGACATATAAATTCAAAGACCTTGTTCCTGAGTCGGCAGATTGCTGGTCAATCTAAAAGCAGGTGCCACAGAGTTTTATTTTTACGGAAAGCTGTAAGCGTTTAAATTTTAATTTAATTTAAGAGGAAAGGAAGAAATGATCAAACGAAATTCGAAAACTTATATACGAGGTAAAATAATTTTTGTCGGGGCAAGTATAATATGCTGACATAATACCACCCAGCCAATAGTAAAATATATTACACAAGTATTGCATTTTTAATTAAAAGTAATGAAAACGGGTAAGTTTAAAGTAATTACAATATAATTGTAATAAAAATTACTTCAACAAATTCTTAATTTATTGCATATATTTGTAGTTCAATAATATAGAGGGTTAAGTTTCGTTTTTATTACAACCCTGTTATCAAGTAGAGCTGCAAAACTGTCAATAGTTGGACCACTCGATATTTAAAAAAAAATCGATAATGCCAAGAGTTTTCGTTTGTATCTACTTTTATTCGCTAGTTAAAATTAAGAGGCCTTGGCTTTGTACACATAATTTTTATTTATAAAAAAAAACATGAACAATAACGGAAAATTAAAAAATTAATAATGTTACATATACAATTTACCATTTTACTATATAAAATTCTCTGAAAGCTGACGAGTTATAAAGAGGTATAATTTTTTATACACTAACTCAATGTAAGACGAGAGCAAGTAATTTATACTTATAATATCCACTTGTTTAATTCGTATTAAAATTAAATTAAATTCTTATTAAAAACAGGAAAACTCTGACGTCACAATTACTGATTCTATATGAATAAGTGGGGTTATGTGCAGACGTCATTGCAGAACATTAGAAATTCTTATAATTGTAAATTTAATATATCCGTAACATTTTTTCTAACGCATCCAACACCTAATTAAAGTGTAAAAAATTGTTAAATTTAATAAGATGGTTTTAAGTGCTTCCATGTTATTCAAAATTAGACTTCACTTTTGGTATTATTCGACTATATTAATACGTATATTTGAAACTTTGCAATTTTATGAAAATTGTTAGTAAGTCTAAATAAACTATCGATAGTAGGACGAAAACAAAACTATCGAAAGTCCCATCGATTGTTTTGCAACTCTATTATCAAGCAGCTGTTTGTTAAAATAAACGTAAAATTTGTTTACTGTTCGGTTGGTCTATTGTAAAATACATTTTATAATTAAGCTAAAATCAGCTATATCAAAATGGAAAGACCACAAAAAATGCCCAAAGTAGCTAAGGTGAGTAAATATTTAATACCATATATAAAAATTGCTTTTACGTTGTTATTCCAGGTGAAAAACAAAGCCCCAGCTGAAATTCAGATTACTGCAGAACAATTGTTGCGCGAAGCTAAAGAACGTGATCTAGAAATTCTTCCACCGCCTCCTAAGCAAAAGATTTCGGATCCTGCAGAATTAGCGGACTACCAACAACGCAAACGTAAAGTATTTGAAGATAATCTACGAAAAAATCGCATGGTAGTAAGTCACTGGATTAAGTACGCGCAATGGGAAGAGTCACAGAAAGAAATACAGCGAGCACGTTCAATATGGGAACGTGCACTGGATAATGAGCACCGAAATATCACTATATGGCTAAAGTATGCGGAAATGGAAATGAAAAACAAGCAAGTAAATCATGCGCGTAATTTATGGGATCGGGCTGTTACAATCATGCCGCGTGTTAATCAATTTTGGTATAAGTACACATATATGGAAGAAATGTTGGATAATGTAGCGGGAGCACGTCAAGTGTTTGAAAGATGGATGGAGTGGCAGCCTGAAGAACAAGCTTGGCAGACCTATGTTAACTTTGAATTGCGTTACAAGGAAATCGACCGTGCGCGCGAAATCTACGAGCGTTTTGTATATGTCCACCCTGATGTAAAAAACTGGATTAAATTTGCTCGTTTTGAAGAATCTCATGGCTTTGTACATGGTGCACGTCGTGTATTTGAACGTGCCGTTGAATTCTTTGGAGAGGATTATATTGATGAACGACTATTCATTGCATTTGCGCGTTTTGAAGAAGGTCAAAAGGAGCATGATAGGGCGCGAGTGATTTACAAATATGCGCTAGACCATCTATCAAAAGATCGAACACAGGAACTTTATAAAGCTTACACAATTCATGAGAAAAAATATGGCGACAGGGCAGGTATTGAAGATGTTATTGTTTCAAAGCGCAAATTCCAATATGAACAGGAGGTAGCCGCGAATCCTCAAAACTATGATGCTTGGTTCGATTACTTGCGATTAATTGAAGGTACAGTTATTTATTTATAAACTAATTATTTTATATCTTATATTATTAACCTCAAATATTTTGCTCATATTTTGTGTAGGTGAAGGCGATGTCGATCTTATACGCGAAACATACGAGCGTGCTATCTCCAACGTTCCACCTGCCAATGAGAAAAACTATTGGCGCCGTTATATTTACTTATGGATCAATTATGCACTCTATGAAGAACTTGAAACAGAGGATTTCGAACGTACCCGACAAATATACAAAACATGCCTGGAACTTATACCTCACAAAAAATTTACATTTAGTAAAATTTGGCTAATGTATGCACAGTTTGAAATTCGTTGCAAAGAATTACAAAAGGCTCGAAAAACTTTAGGAATGGCTATAGGCTTATGTCCACGCGACAAACTTTTCCGTGGTTATATAGAATTAGAAATACAGTTGCGTGAATTCGATCGCTGCCGATTGCTGTATGAAAAGTTTTTAGAGTTTGGACCTGAAAATTGCGTAACATGGATGAAATTTGCTGAGCTTGAAAACTTGCTCGGTGATACGGATCGAGCACGGGCAGTTTTCGAATTCGCAGTCCAACAAACGCGTCTTGACATGCCAGAACTGCTATGGAAAGCATACATAGACTTCGAGGTATCACAAGGTGAAATGGAATTGGCCCGTCAACTATACGAACGACTTTTGGAACGGACGCATCACGTTAAAGTGTGGATGTCATATGCGAAATTCGAATTATTACAACAAGATTCTGAACTTGCTGATGACCCTGAAATAAATATAAAATTATCAAGAAGGGTTTATGAACGTGCTAACGATACTCTACGTAATGCCAGTGACAAGGAATCTCGCGTATTGTTGCTAGAGGCATGGCGTGATTTTGAACGGGAATCAGGAGATAGTCACGCATTAAACAAAGTGATGGAGAAAATGCCTCGACGGGTTAAGAAGCGACAGAAGATCGTATCAGAAAGTGGCGTGGAGGAAGGATGGGAAGAAGTGTTTGACTACATTTTCCCAGAAGATGAATTGGCGCGTCCTAATTTGAAACTATTGGCTGCCGCCAAAATGTGGAAGAAACAAAAGGAATCTATTAATACAGAACCTCCAGCAAGTGATTTGAGTGATGAATCAAATACAGAAAAAGATAAGATAGAAGATAACTAATTGGAATAAATATCTATACACTTGTAATTATAGTTTCCGCCGCTAAATAAACAAAAGATATGATGGATCTGCTAATATTTTTTAAGGAAACTTGTTTCTGTATCAGTGTATTTACTGTCGCTGTTGTCTCGTTATATATATATGTATGAAGTGACGGTATCGGACCATTGTCATGCCCACAAAATACCAAATTAAGATACAAAACTGTGGTCTAAAAATGTTTAAAAAGCGAGCAAGTGGCCTAATGGGTTATCTCATATCTAAAAATTGTCGAAATGATCAATCTGTGGGATATTCTGATAGTTGGTAACATCGGGTGAACACCCTCGCACCCATATACCTAATGATCGATATGTGTGATATGTTAACGAAATTATTTATTTATATTGAAATCCGGGTAGGTGTCTGTCTTTCTGTCCGTGTAAGCTATAACTTGAGTAAAAGTTGGGATACCGTGAAACTTTGTGCACGTAACTTAAATGGGCGTAATCGGATCGCTTCCACGCCCACAAAATTATAATTTAGTACAGGGGATTGCAGTAGCAAAGGGCACCTATGGATTTCGAAAAAACGCGTTTTTCTCAAAACTGTGTGTTTTCAATCCATCAATCGTATCTCAAAAACGGCTTGACCGAATGACTTGAAATTTGTAGGATACATTCAGCATATGTAAACGCCTGAAATGAACTAATATCAATCAAAAATTCCCAAAATTCGCTATTTTTTTTTTGCAAATGTGTACCAAAAATCCAATTTTTGATATATTCATTCGATAATAGTCCATTCCATGCACCTAGGGTTACAGATTAAGAAGGAATCGTGGAGGAAGTGCGAGCCCATTTTTTCTAAGCGGGGGTATTCACAACACTGTAACTCATGTTCTACACATTATTTTTAGTTTAAAATTTATATTTATACTTTCGAAATATATGTTATGTTAATAAATGATAATAAACTTAAAGCTCTATCTATTTTCTGTTGGTAGAAAAACAAATCCTAAAAAACAAGCCGTCACGGACTTGGTCTAAACCTCATATCCCTAATATAATGAATTCCGATTCTTTGGTTCACGCTTTTCACAACTACTCAATATATTAAATTTAGCCTCTTCGGTTGAGTTTATATCACATATATCTCATTTGAGGATGATGTTAATATAATTTTAACTGTGGGGAAGTAAAATGTAGTAAATTAACTGAGTCTATGACCTTTTAAATAAGTTAATATGATACCAAATTTGATTGTAATCCACAAGGAAGTTGAACCCTCTCGCTACTTTTTTTTTTAAATTGAACACCTGAATGTTTTTATCCGGCTTTGATCCTTGCAAGTTAGTATTTAGGCCTTTTTCGGGCCCACTAATGAATATCGTAAAAGAGAATTTTTCCAACATATTTTGCTCTCAAAAAATTTAATGTCCCCTGTTTTGTTTTTCAAACTGCAAATGAACGGTATTCCATTTAAAATTTAAACTTGACCGAACAGTAGATAGTATTGATTTTATTTTAAAGACATAGATGATTGCGTCCCGATCGTTAGCTGTATTTTCGGTTAGATTTTTAAGCATTCAAACAGAATATTTTACAACTCCCAGTGTAATTAGATAAATAAAATTTACAACGCAATTTATGATTTTCTATGATTTATTTAAGTGTTTATGCTGAAATAGACATTTAGTACAACTATGTAAATATTTAAAAATGTGTATATTTGAAGTTATATTATGTGTCATTCCGTTTCAGATGAAACTTCATAGGGTCATCATTGTTGAAATATTTGACAGAACTGTTTGTGGTAATGGCGTGTGAGCGACACTCAAATAGGTAACCAGTAGTTTATTGTTGTTTCAACAAAAACAATTGGTTGGGCGTTCAAACACCATATACCACAAACTGCCACTTAATACAAGACAAACAAATATCGCCGTTTACACACGTACCGCATCTGCTCTGGATAAGCTCAACGCACATTCTTCCATTCATAATGAAGTACTGATAAATTTAGGACGATTATACAAATTAATCGTGTTAATTTTTTTATATTTAAATACATTTTTTAAAACTCATATTTATCAAATTTGCTTTAAAATAATATGTTTCATATACATATGTATATAAAGAAATTAATTTATCCGCAAATATTTGCAATGTTTTATTTTACGTACTCATAAGTACAGTATAATTATTATTTTGACAATCTACAGATATGTTGAACTTATATTAAATAGACTATAAGAATATACTTTTAGAAGTTTAAAAAATACATTTTTTTAGAATGATTTTAACATTTAACCAAGCAATAATATTGTTCTTAATTCGGTTGCACACACTAATAAAGTAAGCGTGAATTTTATTTTTATGAGTTTAACAGAAAGTATACAAGAAATAATAGTGATTATATTATTATGTGCAAATTTATAGCATAATTTATTTTTGTTAAGGTTTATTTTGTAGCTTTGTTTAAAGTATATATAATATTTGCAAAATTCATACAGCTCTTGTGTTTAGCAAAGTTGCTTATTATAGAAATCATTTAATCATTTTATTTGACTCGAATCTTGTATATTTATTTAAACAGCAGAAACGTGCTTACAAATTTTTATTACTTTTAATATTTTTTCTTAACAAATTCTAATTTATTTTAATTTACACACTACGTCTGGACAGTTCACATAAACCATTTTGTTTTAAATATTTGGTTTATGTGTGCAAATTTGATTGCGTTTTATGAATGTTAAATACTCAGAATTCTATTTAAAGGTAAATTTAATTTTTTCATTTTCAAATTTATGAATGAAACTCATTCAGATATTTGCTAGTTATTAGTTAATAAATTAACTTTGATGTGAAATATTTTACTTTGCTTTTGCATCATTCTTGTTTTCTTCCTTTGTGGCGGTCTTGTTAATTGTTTGTTTGTCTTTAGCATCCTGTAAATAAATGCGCCCAAAGCATGATTTAAGAAAACAAAAAATTTCCATATTAAACATTCTCATTATTAAAGAGAAAAATTTTTAATAGCACATCATATTAGCCATGTAAAGTGTTTATATGTATATACACATCTAAAAAGTATATATTAGCAAAGTGCTACACAATATAAATATGGGTGTATCTTTATTAGTATAGCTTAATAATTTAGTTTTAAAAGCAAACACTTTTGATATCACGACATAAATATGATGTGACATTAATGATGCCAAATATATTTTTTGCGCGATATATCGGAAATTTATTCTGTAATCGTTCAACGTACATGTGACAGGCGGATATCAATTAATGTATGTATAAAATCATACGGAAATATACAAGAAAGCATAGATTAATGCGTAGACAATATCGAAGGATTTTAAGAAGTGTTATTGAACAATACTTTTGAGCATTTAGTTATAAAAATGTACCTTTAAAGTAAATTTCCAAGAGCTACCAAAATTATTTGTCTTAAAATATTTTCAATGACGTACGTATTTCTCAAACTTTTATATAAATCGCCGAGAACAGTAAAATACTTATATAAAACTAAACAACATTTAATATTGGAACGCAAATTCTGAACGCTCTTCTTGCTATTGATTTATCCTACAAGTACATTACATAAAAGCCGAGAATTTTACGATTAAAATTGACAAAAGTCTGAGAACGATAAAATCACCAAAAATCCAATTCGATATTGCCTTTCATTAGTTCATTGGCGCATAAAGTTTGCATAATGAAAAGTTTTAATGTTACTTATGTGCATGTGCCAAAACATTGTTATGGATTGGTTTTTTACCGTTCTTGCAATGAATATTATTTTTACTATAGTGTGGCATATTGTTATCCAATCCATCACAAATGTTTTTTGCAGTAAGCGATAACGTTGGGAATAAAAAATAATTGTTGTTTGTGGGCGATTATACCATTTAGCTTTTTCAAGATTTTACCTTTGCCTTAACGGCTTCCGCCTCCTTTTTCAAATATTCCTCGCGGGCATTTTCGTACATAGATACAAACTTGTCACGTTGCACTTTAAATTGTGCGAATAAATCATCATTTTTATTGCCTTTGAGCCTATTTTCAATGTCAACTTTCTTGTCATATTCAGCCCGTATTTCCTTGGTAACCCAAGGCTTTTCGATGGGATACTGATTCACCAGGTTTTTCAGTGTCTTAATGGTACTTTTTCCTTTTACCACCTTTTTCACTAATTTCGTGTTTGGTTTTTTAATTTTCCCAGCATTGCTAAACGGTGCTGGCGGCATAGCACGAGGCATGCGCGGTGGGATCATTGGTGGTATTGGAGGTGGAATTGGTGGTATCGGTCCGATACGTCCGCTGCGTCGAAGAAATGGTGGTGGTGGTTGTATACCCATTGGAGGAGGCATTGGGCCTCGACCCATTGGTGGTATTGGTGGAATCATCGGTGGCTGGAATCCGTGCGGTGGTGGCATAGCCGGCATTGGTATATTTCCTCGTGGAACGCCAGGTGGTCCCATACGACGTCCGCGGTTGGGACCGTTGGGCATATTTTGAGCCCCATTAATAAAAATTCTTGGGCCACCGACATTTCCACCATTGAATCTATTATTAGTTGTATTATTTGGACCTTGATAATGAACTCCTTTATTTTTATTCCAATTTCCACTACCATTTTGTTGCGTTTGAGTGTTTACCAGAGGTTGATGAAATTGTGTTTGTGGTTTTCCTTTAGGTCTATTCTTATTATTTTTCTTTTTTTGCTGCAATTGACCTAGCCCACTTCCACCGCCAATACCTACCGGTGGCGATGGGTTGTTGAAATCTAAGTAACCAGGATTATCAGGAATTTGACTACCATTGAACATCATCGGATTGAAATTGCCGTGATGCACAGGGCCCCCACCGCCATTCCCCAAGTTCTTGAACGGTTTTTTGTATGGTATTGCCGCAGCCCTGTGCACGGGTCTGCCATTTTGAAAATTTTTTGCCATTCTATATTTCTAAATCTTTGAAAAAATTACAACTCGTATTTTCAATATATATGAATATAAAAACTTTTCAAACACTATATATAATGATTCTATTTATTTAAAAATATAATCGATTCTATTATACAAAATTCACTTTTTAATGAGCATTTAAGCACTAGACAATTATTTTGTAATGTTACGTTTTCTTACTTATCAAATTTAGAGAAAGCAGGCGAAAATATAGGGTTGAAATTAGAATTGCGGAACAGACAAAAATAGAACACTGTACAGAGAGTTTTATATCCAATAATTTGTCGACAATAAACCAGTACCAGAGAATGTAAATTTACGTTCTCTGCCAGTACTGTGGTTAACCGAACACTATCCTTGACTTTTCGAAAAAACGAAAACCAGTTAAAAGCAAAGTTTTATTTCGGAGTTTCAAATAACAAATATACAAATACATGTTTATTTATGTATTTATTGACTACGCCAATCGGTAATATACATGATAAAAAATAGTTAGTTGAGGGTACTTGCAAAAATACAAATATAAATATATATATATATATATATATAGGGCGCTGTGGTAGCAGTTTGGGTGAGTTGCATAGATTAAAATGCTAGATTACAAGAGTAAATGTTTCTTGGTGTTATCGATGAAAGCCGTGTATGTACCTTCGTAGAAGTCAATCTCACCCTGAAGTGAATTGATAGATTTAGCCAGTCTATTTTGGGGTCCATGCATCACATAGTTTTTCTTTGAGTTGGAAGTTTTTAGCATCAATGATGTTGACAACTTTGTCGAAGAAACTGAGATCAGCAACCTGTCGACGTGCAGATAGTTTATTGATGTTAAAGCCCTGGAATATCTAATCAGTGTAGTAGGTGTGAATTTATGATAATTTATAGGTCAGTAACTTGCGTTGGACCTTCTCCACTTTGTCTATCTTCACATATGAGAAAGAGGACTAGACAACTGACCCATATTCAAGGACAAACAGGACCAAAGATTGGAAAAGTCTAGTCAGGTTGTAGGGGCTGCTGAAATCTATACCGTTTCTTTAGATGAACCCGAGAGTTTTGAATGCCTTGGAAGTGATCAATATGTTTAGAGCAGGTGAGCTTATTATAAACTATGATGCCCAGGTCTTTTACATCTTCAACCTCTATAATCTCCAGGCCGTTGATCTTGTAGTTTGCGTCAAGTATATTCACACGGCACCAATTACCAAGAGTATCAATATCTTGCTGTAGCGTTAAGATGTCAGTCATACAGGCAATGGGTCTGAAGATTTTGAGTACCGGGCCTAAATGAGACCCTTGTAGTACACTACATATCACTTCATATTTATGAGATAGATAGCCATCGAATCTGACCTGAAGACGTCTTTCTGTAAGGTATGAATGTATCCAGGACAATGCGCTACCTCCTAGGCCGTAGCTACTCAACTTGTGCATTAGTATTTCGTGGTCAACACGATCAAATGCCTTGCTAAAATCCGTGTAGCCGGAGTCCATAGTATTAAGCAATTTGTTAATATATAGAAACAAATTTGTTGTAGTGGATCTGCCTCCAGTGAACCCATGTTGTTTGGTGGTTATGATGTGTTCAAAGGACTGTAATAGCTAGGGTAACACCAATTTCTCAAATAACTTGGCAGGGGCGGACTGAATACAGATGGGACGATAATTGGTGCCCATCGCTTTTGATCCGTCCTTCTGTATTGGGGTTATGTATGATAATTTCCAGTATGATGGAAAGACACCACGGCTAAGGGATTCACTAAATATATTATATGTGACAAGGGTTCACATAGACCAATCGCATAGTTCTTTAGGAATATATTGGGTAGACCATCTGGTCCAGCACCCTTTCTGGGGTCGAGTGCAAGAAGCTGTTTAAGTACTTCGTCGAAAGATGCTATCAGATCGTTCATATGAGTGCATTGCGATCCCGGATTGAAATTTGCTGCATCTGGAACGATGCAGTTGTTTGGTACATAAATGCTGTGGAAAAAATAAGCGAAAAGGTTGCAGATTTCAGACCCAGAGTCAGCCGACTGATCGTCCCATACTATGGATGGAGGTATGTTACTGCTGCACCGGTTTTTGGCTTTAACAAAATTCCAGCTCTTGTAGCACTCGGAACTCAGCTTTTTACAATCAAGTCTCAGTTTGCAAAACCGATAATAATTTGACTTAGTTTTTCTTGTCTTATACAACACGTGCGCCGACTTTTTTAATTTAATTTTGTGAATGAGATCTTTTGAGAACCAGGGTGGGTAGTTACTGTGTTTATGCGTATGTATTGGAACGAACTGGTTTACGCCTTCAAAGATTTTTACGTAGAAAAAATCTAGCTTACTATCAATTGTTTCGAGTTTGTAGAGATCAATCCAATTACCAAGAGTATCAATATCTTGCTGTAGCGTTAAGATGTCAGTCATACAGGCAATGGGTCTGAAGATTTTGAGATCATCTGCATACAGCAGATGGTCTGAGACAATATTATTACCAATGTCGTTGATCAAAATATTGAAGAGTGCCCGGCCTAAATGAGACCCTCCAATTTGTTCTCAGGCAGAAGGTGTTGAGCTCAGCGTAGTTAGCCTTTTTTTATAAGTAGGAAGAAGAGTTGTTTGGGACCAGTCCAGGCTGAAAGTTAAGCGTGATATCCAGGGCAGGATGATATTTATCTTCTGAGCCCAGAGCAAGTGAGTGTTCTGGAGATGAGTCAATATCCCTGAAAAATAAGTCAAGGAAAGAGTTACGAGCATTGAGAATATAATTACGTTGAGTACAGTTGAGCGAGGCGTATCCATCTAAAGTAGCTTTTCCCAGTTCACACGAGGTGAGCTGCTTGGGAGGTTGAAATCGCCGATTATCAGAAAGTTGGATGCCTGGTATTTGTCCATAATGAATGAAATGGTGGCTAGATGGTTACCAAAGATCTCGTAAGGTGATTGAGGAGGTATGTAAACACAGCCGATGATTATGTCATGCGCCCTTGACACGGTTAAAAATTTTCTCTAAGTCATTGTTTGCAACTGAGATTGGCTCAGTATGGGGATAACGCTTACAGGCAATAAAAACACCACCACCATTTTGTGTATATATGTATATTAGACAACATATTTACCTCCGATATGTAAGTCCATCAATGGATGTAAATTTGAGAACCGAAAACGGAACGGGATATTAGAAAATGTTTTCTGAATTTGTATTTTCATATTACTAAAATAAAATTTAGACTATATTTAAACCTAACTTCAGTGCTTCCTAACAAAATACCTACCATGTTAAAAATATCTCACTGAAAGGTACGTTTTTTTACAGAAGATTAGCGAATTCAATTATGATTGTGATTAAATATCTTAATGAAGTAACCTAAATAACAGTATTTATATATATATCTATTATATAATATATACTGTGCATCGAACAGTGTCAAGAGCCCATCATTCATTTAAATTTCATCAATATGGAATACCATGAGAGCACTGTTTGCATTAGTTAAGTTAATATATATTGTGTATGTTTTCATGTACACGTATCAAAAATAATAAGATATTTATGTTCAAATATATACACGTAATTCAATGCATAAAACATTTATTGCGAAAACTTTAGTTATTTCGAAATTTAAAAAAAAATTTTTATTGAGTAGCCCCTTTTTTGTCCAATCACCAAAAGCCCTATGATAAAAACCTCATTACAATAACAAGCGTCCAAGTTTCAAAAACATTAGAAAAAATCTTAATTATAAAAAAAAAAAAAAAAAATACAAAAAGGTCAAAGAATCTAACATCAGTAATTACAAATTATATATAAGAAACTTAAATCATTAACGGCAAATATTTCAAATTATAATAGGTAAATTTTTCGTGGTAAGTTTTCGGCTGCTTGCTGCAGGCGACATTTTGGACGGTGTGAGTGGATGATGGAACCCAGCGCGGGGATTAGGCAAGTGTACAACACAGCTATCACTAGGATGAATTCGTTTGGACCGAGTCGAAATAGTCGATGAGGCTGCAACGCGTGAAAAAGCCGTGTGTATTATAGAAGAACGTGAATCGGGATCAATGCTTTTTTGGAAGGAATCATATGCATCATCTGTATCAGTGTTCCAATCTGAGCCATCATTGATAAGAATTTTTGGTGTAGCAACTGTATTTTTCTTTACGGTCTTACTCAAGGAAGATCGCTTTTTGTTTCCAGAACTTTGACGGCCCGATCTACGACGTATCGTGGTTGCAATAACTCGCGATTTCTTTAGAGGCGATTTAAACGACTTTGTTGATAACTTAACTCCAGCAGAAGATAAGCCTGTATTACGAGCGTTCGTCATTGGTTTTGAAAAAACGCTAGGACTGTTAGGCGGAAAAACTAAACTTCGTTTAGGCAACGGAGTATTTCTTTCATTTTGAAGCAGTTTCCGTTTTCTCGCTGAATTGGCAGAGGCAGACGGAAGTGCTGATAAGTTAGTATTAGAGGGGGCTTTACGCATTGAAATCATTGAACCGTTTTTTGCTGACATAGGTGTACGACCAGTAACTGGGTGAGGCGTTTGAGCATTTTTACGTGCACTGCTAATTTTCTCCTTTTCTTGACGTTTCATCTCCCATTCTTTTTCCATTAACTCTAAAATATTTTCGCCATAAACACGAAACTCCTGATGCTCTTTTTCTTCGAAAGCAACAACTAACTCTCGAATTTGTTGCTCAATTTTCGGCAATTTAGTAGCGATTGTTTTGCGTTCCTTTTCTTCTTTAAGTAATTGGCCCCCACGGTTGTTATACCGGCCTGGATCTGAAGCTTTAGCTTCGAGCGCAATCATTCGATCCCATAACAATCTCCTATTATCGTAAAGTTCAAATATCTGATGATTATTATCGTAGAATCGTTTTATATCCTCCAACTCAATTTCATGTAATACTAATAGATCCTCTGTATAGCAATTATTGTGAAAGTTAGAAAAACGATTCCTCTCCGTTTCCGATTTAAGAGTTTTATCCCACCATTCAACAATCTCGGCACGGATTTGTTGGAGGCATTCTTTTATATTTTGACTTTGTAAAGATTCGCATCGTTGCAGTTCGTCTTTAAGTACATTATATGTTCGCTGGTTATATTCTGTATTACGTTTAAATTTATTTCGAGTATTTGGCGATGTTTTCAAGCGCCCCCAAAGGGACTCTAATTTATTACGCATACTATCTATACGCTCTGACAAGATTTTTACACGCGTCCCGTATAATTCTTGCATACGCCTGAGCGCTTTAAAAGTCTCTTCATTGAGTTTAATTTGTCTGTGATTTAATAGTCTGTCTTCCGTGTCTGTATTAACTTGTGTCTCCAATATATTTAAGTAATTTTTTATCTCCCGGCGTAATACAGACATCTCATTCAAGCGTTCCATACGCTCCATCTTTAGTTGGTCTAAGTGAGTACGAAATTCCAAAATTTCTTCTTCTGAAGGTAAAGGATCAGCCAAAAGAGGACGAGGAGCTTCGCCCAACTCTTCACATAGACCTTCTTGCTCAAGTAAAAGCTCGCAAATTTCATCACGGCGCCGCCGTAATTGATCTCGCAATTCAGTTAAACTTTTATCCATTTTTGACTGTAGAACCAACAACGGTACATTTTTTTCATCAATTCTTGGGAAATCTACATCTGTTTTCAATAAACGACAAAGCATATCTGCTTCTTTGTGTAACTCTTCTATTTCATTTTCTATAAGTCCCTTTCTTTGCAAGGACTCTTCTATCAATTCCGTAAAAAATGTTTTCACATGTTCCTTTAGTTTTTTAAAATTATATAAACACATTTCTTCATCAAACATTTCCGTCCATATTGAAGCAAGATCGTTAACATTTTCTGCCATTACCCTTTGCAGCTCCAGATTCTCCCCTTCAAAGTCAGCCATTTTACAGATTTTCTCCCGTTACTTCTGAAATCTTAATAAATTTGTTTTCCTCTTATGTATTTCTTCTTTATTATTACGTATAAATGTAGAAACGTACCTTTGTGTATAAAATTTAATAACTGCTTTTATTTCCACAAACTTATTGCACACACAAAAATTTACAACTTCAAATATTCACCGCGTTTTATTACTTTTCAGTTGTAAATTTGATTTCAAACATGTTGATGTCACTAAAAGTATCGATACACATTCCGATAGTAAACAGCGTTGTATTTAGATTTTATTGTATCAACCATTAAGCTAATGTACATTCACACTTAAAACTTTCTGAAACTGATTTCCATATATTTGCAAGCCAATAGGTACATACAATTTTTTTGTTGATGTTGTCATATTGAGTATGAATGTTATTATAACGAGATATGAGGTTTTGGTATGTGAAAGTGATAAGTAAGTGTCTTAGATGTGAAAACTCACTGAGCGCCTTATAAAAGAAAAGTCCAAAAGAACATACTAAGGACCGTTTTCTCAATAGCCGGTTAATACTCTCCTTAACCACTGGTAGCATAACTGACAGAACCATTTTCACCAAGTTGTGGTTAGCTTACCTATAGCTAGTTTGATTGTTATAAATGCGTGGGGAAAACAGTTCACAAAACTTGCATTGTCAACACGCTAAATTGTGTAAATGTCATTAGCTATGTTCAGACGGAGAAAGACGAAGATCTTTGTTTTCTTTTCCGTTACGGCTCGCTGCTACGCATTTCGGTGTTCTTTTTTATTTTGAGATTCCTTTCATGGTTGCTCAGTTCCATAGGAACAATTACATACCCTTGTGTATGTAATATGCATTTATAAGTGCAAATATGCGATGATAATGAGCGACAAAAGAGTCATCGTATGAACGACGGCTAAGCAGCTGCTTTTGCAGCTGTCATTTAATGTTCCGGTTAAAAATTAGCCGAGGTATTGAGAAAATTATTTACCCAGCTCAAAATCTAGGTAAAATGTTTACAACGTATAAATATTTATACAGATATGCATTCACGATGGGAGGAATTTAAACTATAAAATATTGTAACGGATTTCTCAATAATTCGTCTACCTTATAATTCACTCTTGAGTTCAATCTCTGGATTGTTAAATAAAAGTCCCAATTTGATGGTTATATATTTATCTTTATATCTAATTCCAACAACTTAGTCGCTAGAGGGCGAAGTGTAAACATGTTTACTTTTTCACTCCTATTATAAATTGCATATTTTTGCTATCAATTATTAATATTAAATTACATAACTAGTTTAACTGCGTATTAGTGTAGTTACCAACGCATTTTTTGACTTAAGTTTCCTGAAATTGTGATTTTCAAGCTAACTATGCCCCCCAAAAATAACACGCTGTTGTTGCCCACATGTGGTGTCAGTAATGTTGTTGTTAAAGCTAAATCACCGAGTGTTTTTTGTACAAGCTGTCGTATTTGGACACACTCTAAGTGCACAGGACTGTCGAAAACTGAGTTTACTAAACTTGTTAATAAAATAACAACAAAAGATTCTTACGGAAATGTGGATCCTGTATAGTGGAGGTTAGTGTCATCACCGACCATGAAATGAGATTGACGATGACGACGACAACAACATCACCATGAATCAATTGAGAAGACTTTTTGATGACCAGTATTGAAAGCTTGCCACTACTCTAGAGAACAAGTTTGACAGATTCAGATCCGCTACAGAAAGGAACATCAGTGACATCAGGAAGGAAGTCACTACTTTATCTAAACAGGCTGGCCGCTTGAATGACAAATGTACTGTGTTTAAAAACAGATTCACGATAGTTGAAGATACGCTCAAGTCTTTTTGCAGCACCACAGCACCGGCAGAAGAAATTATCGCGGAACTTTCGGAATCCCGGAGTCCCTCCCCCGGACGAACTCGCCCGTTAGTAGTCGAAACCATTCTCCTTCTACAGCACGTGTTATACTCATATCAAAGCCACCAGAACCGGGACCGCTCAAATCATGTTCAAGCCTAATCTCACTCCAGCCCAACTTACACATCTTAAGAACCTCCGAGTCTAGTTAGATACCATGGTTAAAAAAGGTGACTCCAATAAAAAAAATAAAATATTTTAGCGGCTTTCCTAAATTATTAGATTAAAATTTTTGCTCGCTCAGCGAAAAAAACAAGCTAAACAAACATGGACGTACAGTATCAGAACGTGAGAGGACTTCGAACCAACATCGGCAGTTTCCTCAAATCGACATCAGTCAATGCCAGTGTTGTCTTCTGCATCACGGAGTCATGGCTGCATGGCAGTTATAGATGACACCTTCAAAATCTTCAGAAAGGATAGAAACAGCTTTACGAGTATTAACGAACATGGTGGAGGTGTCTTCATTGCTACGAGGAGCTCCATCCACGCAGAAAGTGGCACAATCCCGGTTGATAATCTTGAACAAATTTATGTCAAAATTAAATACAAAGCTCTGATATCATCATTGGCTGTATCTACCTTGCTCCAGGTGCATCAATTGTCGAGTTCCAATCACTTATTGATACACAGTTAGAATTGATAATAAAACACAAGGACGCCAAATTCCTTTTCACTGGTGATTTTAACCTTCCCAACAGCAGAATCCTTATGAAGGACACTCACAAATGGAAGGTTGACAGTTTAATTGTATTCGAATCCACAACAACAACCTGCTAGATCTCTGCTTCAGTAACCGGGACATCATTGTCGAACACACTCAGCCAATTGTCACAATGGATTTGTATCATCTTAACTTCAAAAATGTCGACTATGTCAACTAAATGCCTTTCACTTGAACACCGATTGGCCGAAAGTATATTCATCATCCGCACTGGACAGTAATATTAGTGCTTTTTATGACATAGTTCACGAAGGCATCTCTACACTTCTTCCAGTGTGTACACAAAAATCAAATCAGTTTCCTTACTGGTTCATTAATAAACTGAAATATAAAACATTACTCAAGAAAGAAGCTCACTCTGCCTACAAGAAAAACAGTACCAAACTCAAATTATATTAAATTCAGTGACCTAAGGCGAGGCAAGTTAAGAGCTAAATTTAATATGTTACAGGAACTACGTAGATAAAGTTAAACAGCAAGTGCAAGATAATACAAATGCATTCTGGAAATTCATCAAACACAAAAGGAGAAACTACGTCGTTGAGATCAGCAACTTGTTCGCATCCTACATTAAAGACTCTCACCAGTACCCACTATTGGATATAAATGCCCTACGTCAAATAATATCATCAAGGAAATTGAGGTTAGTACTAACAACGTTCATAAAGCACTGTTATCCCTAAACACAAAAAAGGCGCTGGTCCTGATGGTCTGAAAAATATCTTTCTAAAAACTGTGCTACAAGCCTTAGTGAGTACATTACTCACATCTACAGCACCTCAATTCATGATGGAATATTCCCGACAGACTGGAAACTAACTTACGTCTGTCTTATTCACAAGGACGACCCAAGGTGAGACATCGCCAACTACAGACCAGCTCTGGCCAAACTCTTTGAGAAGATGGTTCGCCCTCAGCTCACTGCTCTTTTTACAAACATTATCTCTAGCAAGCAACATGGCTTCGTCGGTGGAAGGTCTACAACATCTTATCTGTTAATCTATGTTAACTACCTTTTGGAAGCTTTAAATAATAGACATGCAGTCCGTACCATCTACACGAATTTGAGTAAAGCTTTTGATAGAGCAGACCATAATATTCTACTGGATAAGCAAAGTAACTACGGTATACAAGGTATAGCAATGAGCTGGATCTATTCATATTTAAATGGACGGCAACTACAAGCTAAAGTCGATGGTCATCTATCCATAAAGTACGAGGTGTTATCCGAAGTACCCCAAGGGTCACACCTGGGACCTATTCTTTTCAATATTTTCCTTAACGACATCGGTGCAAATTTCAAGTCTGAATACCTAATTATGCGGATGACCTGAAGATTTTTCGAGTGATAACAGGCGTACAAGACACCCAAACTCTCCAGTGTGATGTGGGCATATTGTCAGCATGGTGCCACAAAAACAAACTTGATGTGAATAGCGGCCTTTACACGGTCATTCATGTTTGCAAGCATGTGCGGCGTGATGAGAAGAATGAGCGTGTAAACATAATAAATTCGTGTTTGTCATACATGTGCGATGGTTTTTAAAAATTTTTAAAAACATGATGTTGTTATGAACATGTTTTATGGTGTAAACACTTGCATCATGCACGCAGTATATTTTTTCAGTCGTAAGCAAACATTGAAGCGTAATGACGTCACGGATAAACGAAGAACTGTGGTAGGACTTCTTTGAAATTTATCTAAGCGTTCTGGATGGCTGGATTATAAATTTTTAAAAAAATCATATAATATAAAAAAAAAATATAAATAAAAAAACTTATAACAAAGAAACTATACAAGTCATAATAAAATATCATGGTTTTATGATGAACGTTTTAAATTAAATTAGCAAATAAAATTTAGTTGCACGTTGTTCAAAAATATTTGTGTCGTTCTCTGAAATTTCGTTTCGCACTGCTTTTGTTAGCTAATTTTAGCGGGTTTATTTCTGGCATCCCGCCTTTTTTGACATCAGCTGTTCGAATTTCCCTGATTTTAATAATCAGGGAAAGATAATAACAGAAAAATCGAAAATGAGAGAGTCTCGCTTCATGTCATCCTTGTCATTTCATCCTTGCTTCGTTCACAAATAACAGAGAAATAAAGTATGATTGCATGTTCGACCGTTTAAACGAAAACCAGTTTTTTTTGCATCATACCATGTTCGCATACAAAAATGACCGTGTAAAGGCCGCTAATAACAAAAAGTGCGTAGCTGTCTCGTACTCAAGATCACACTTTCGTCCATCAGCTAATCGTCCATCAGTACCCTGAATAATGAGGCGGTAAATGAGGTTGAGTCAGTAAAGGACTTAGGAAACATCATAGACAAAAAGCTAACTTTGAAGAAGCATATCGAAAGGATCACACTCCACTCTTTTAAAGTACTAGGTTTTATAATCAGAACCAGCAGGCTTTTCAGATCCAAACTCCTTACTGCGCCTTTACTCATCACTAGTTCTTCCTATCTTGGAGTATGTCACAGTAATCTGGTCTCCATTCACGGACATGGTGACCAAGCGTATCGGAAAGATACAATACAGTTCTGTAAGAATCTGGGTTACCGCTATGGATTTACTGTCCCTCTTGCCCCACTGAGACACAACCGTCTGCTGAAAACCACAAAAACTACAAAGAACTATGTGCTCAATAGCCTACACGATCAAATTGCCAGCCTAGTCAACATTCTACACAACGAAATGGATTTTTAAAGTGGATCACTCAACGCACTCGCCCAAGAAATTAAGTCGCGCATACTACAATACCCTTAACCCAAAGACACTTAACTAGTTAATCTTGTCAATATAAATATCTACCCTTCCCCCTCTTTTTCTCAATATTTGGTTAGCAACCATCTGCCAGTTAAGTTCTGGTTCTTTATCGAAAGAGGGAGTCTTGGTTAGTTTCTAACCAGAACATGAAATAACAACTGTCAGCTGTAAAATCTATTAGAAATATCAGCGGCATAGACGGCGTTCAGACGGGGACTCTTTTTTCGCTCATTATCAT